ATGTGGGAGTGGAAACGTGTTCTAGGGACCCTGAGGTATCTTCCTAGCAAGTTTCAAGAAATTTCATTTTTTGGCCAAAATTGAAAAAAATGTAAGGGGTTAGCCTTACTTTTTTTTCGATTTTGGCCAAAAAATGAATTTTCTCCAAATTACTCAGAAATGCTTAAGGATGCTTTGGGAGCATGATTTAATATTCAGACCGACAAAATTCGCTAAATTTTGGCCAAAATTGTGACATCATAGGGTAAAATTTCATATACATGTATTTGACCTATTTTACCTCAAATTTTGGACGTAATATTTCCTTTTTAAAGGCCTATCTGTCCGATGTAGGAGTGGAAACGTGTTCCAGGGACCCTGAGGTATCTTCCTAGCAAGTTTCATGATATTTCATTTTTTGGCCAAAATTGAAAAAAATGTAAGGGGTTAGCCTTACTTTTTTTTCGATTTTGGCCAAAAAATGAATTTTCTCCAAATTACTCAGAAATGCTTAAGGATGCTTTGGGAGCATGATTTAATATTCAGACCGGCAAAGTTCGCTAAATTTTGGCCAAAATTGTGACATCATTGGGTAAAATTTCATATACATGTATTTGACCTATTTTACCTCAAATTGTGGACGTAATATTTCCTTTGTAAAGGCCTATCTGTCCGATGTGGGAGTGGAAACGTGTTCTAGGGACCCTGAGGTATCTTCCTAGCAAGTTTCAAGAAATTTCATTTTTTGGCCAAAATTGAAAAAAATGTAAGGGGTTAGCCTTACTTTTTTTTCGATTTTGGCCAAAAAATGAATTTTCTCCAAATTACTCAGAAATGCTTAAGGATGCTTTGGGAGCATGATTTAATATTCAGACCGGCAAAATTCGCTAAATTTTGGCCAAAATTGTGACATCATAGGGTAAAATTTCATATACATGTATTTGACCTATTTTACCTCAAATTTTGGACGTAATATTTCCTTTTTAAAGGCCTATCTGTCCGATGTAGGAGTGGAAACGTGTTCCAGGGACCCTGAGGTATCTTCCTAGCAAGTTTCATGATATTTCATTTTTTGGCCAAAATTGTAAAAAATGTAAGGGGTTAGCCTTACTTTTTTTTCGATTTTGGCCAAAAAATGAATTTTCTCCAAATTACTCAGAAATGCTTAAGGATGCTTTGGGAGCATGATTTAATATTCAGACCGGCAAAATTCGCTAAATTTTGGCCAAAATTGTGACATCATTGGGTAAAATTTCATATACATGTATTTGACCTATTTTACCTCAAATTGTGGACGTAATATTTCCTTTGTAAAGGCCTATCTGTCCGATGTGGGAGTGGAAACGTGTTCTAGGGACCCTGAGGTATCTTCCTAGCAAGTTTCAAGAAATTTCATTTTTTGGCCAAAATTGAAAAAAATGTAAGCGGTAAGCCTTACTTTTTTTTCGATTTTGGCCAAAAAATGAATTTTCTCCAAATTACTCAGAAATGCTTAAGGATGCTTTGGGAGCATGATTTAATATTCAGACCGGCAAAATTCGCTAAATTTTGGCCAAAATTGTGACATCATAGGGTAAAATTTCATATACATGTATTTGACCTATTTTACCTCAAATTTTGGACGTAATATTTCCTTTTTAAAGGCCTATCTGTCCGATGTAGGAGTGGAAACGTGTTCCAGGGACCCTGAGGTATCTTCCTAGCAAGTTTCATGATATTTCATTTTTTGGCCAAAATTGAAAAAAATGTAAGGGGTTAGCCTTACTTTTTTTTCGATTTTGGCCAAAAAATGAATTTTCTCCAAATTACTCAGAAATGCTTAAGGATGCTTTGGGAGCATGATTTAATATTCAGACCGGCAAAGTTCGCTAAATTTTGGCCAAAATTGTGACATCATTGGGTAAAATTTCATATACATGTATTTGACCTATTTTACCTCAAATTGTGGACGTAATATTTCCTTTGTAAAGGCCTATCTGTCCGATGTGGGAGTGGAAACGTGTTCTAGGGACCCTGAGGTATCTTCCAAGCAAGTTTCAAGAAATTTCATTTTTTGGCCAAAATTGAAAAAAAATGTAAGGGGTTAGCCTTACTTTTTTTCGATTTTGGCCAAAAAATGAATTTTCTCCAAATTACTCAGAAATGCTTAAGGATGCTTTGGGAGCATGATTTAATATTCAGACCGGCAAAGTTCGCTAAATTTTGGCCAAAATTGTGACATCATTGGGTAAAATTTCATATACATGTATTTGACCTATTTTACCTCAAATTGTGGACGTAATATTTCCTGTTTAAAGGCCTATCTGTCCGATGTAGGACTGGAAACGTGTTCTAGGGACCCTGAGGTATCTTCCTAGCAAGTTTCAAGAAATTTCATTTTTTGGCCAAAATTGAAAAAAATGTAAGGGGTAAGCCTTACTTTTTTTTTCGATTTTGGCCAAAAAATGAATTTTCTCCAAATTACTCAGAAATGCTTAAGGATGCTTTGGGAGCATGATTTAATATTCAGACCGGCAAAATTCGCTAAATTTTGGCCAAAATTGTGACATCATTGGGTAAAATTTCATATACATGTATTTGACCTATTTTACCTCAAATTGTGGACGTAATATTTCCTTTTTAAAGGCCTATCTGTCCGATGTGGGAGTGGAAACGTGTTCTAGGGACCCTGAGGTATCTTCCTAGCAAGTTTCAAGAAATTTCATTTTTGGCCAAAATTGAAAAAAATGCCTTACTTTTTTTTCGATTTTGGCCAAAAAATGAAGTTTCTCCAAATTACTCAGAAATGCTTAAGGATGCTTTGGGAGCATGATTTAATATTCAGACCGGCAAAATTCGATAAATTTTGGCCAAAATTGTGACATCAAGGGGTAAAATTTCATATACATGTATTTGACCTATTTTACCTCAAATTGCGGACGTAACATTTCCTTTTTAAAGGCCTATCTGTCCGATGTAGGTGTGGAAACGTGTTCCAGGGACCCTGAGGTATCTTCCTAGCAAGTTTCAAGAAATTTCATTTTTTGGCCAAAATTGAAAAAAATGTAAGGGGTTAGCCTTACTTTTTTTTCGATTTTGGCCAAAAAATGAATTTTCTCCAAATTACTCAGAAATGCTTAGGGATGCTTTGGGAGCATGATTTAATATTCAGACCGGCAAAATTCACTCAATTTTGGCCAAAATTGTGACATCATTGGGTAAAATTTCATATACATGTATTTGACCTATTTTACCTCAAATTGTGGACGTAATATTTCCTTTTTAAAGGCCTATCTGTCCGATGTAGGAGTGGAAACGTGTTCTAGGGACCCTGAGGTATCTTCCTAGCAAGTTTCAAGAAATCTCATTTTTTGGCCAAAATTGAAAAAAATTTAAGGGGTTAGCCTTACTTTTTTTTCGATTTTGGCCAAAAAATGAATTTTCTCCAAAATACTCAGAAATGCTTAAGGATTCTTTGGGAGCATGATTTAATATTCAGACCGGCAAAATTGTGATAATATTGGGTAAATTTTTTAATTTTTGACCTAGTTTACCTCAAATTGTGGACGTAATATTTCCTTTTTTTAAGGCCTATCTGTCCAATGTAGGAGTGGAAACGTGTTCTAGGGACCCTGAGGTATCTTCCTAGCAAGTTTCAAGAAATTTCATTTTTTTGCCAAAATTTAAAAAAATGTAAGGGGTTAGCCTTACTTTTTTTTTTGATTTTGGCCAAAAAATGAATTTTCTCCAAATTACTCAGAAATGCTTAAGGATGCTTTGGGAGCATGATTTAATATTCAGACCGGCAAAATTCGCTAAATTTTGGCCAAAATTGTGACATTGTTGGGTAAAATTTCATATACATGTATTTGACCTATTTTACCTCAAATTGTGGACGTAATATTTCCTTTTTAAAGGCCTATCTGTCCGATGTAGGAGTGGAAACGTGTTCTAGGGACCCTGAGGTATCTTCCAAGCCAGTTTCAAGAAATTTCATTTTTTGGCCAAAATTGAAAAAAAATGTAAGGGGTAAATTAAACCCCTTGTAATTTTTTCAATTTTGGTCAAAAAATGAAATTGCTCCAAATTTCCTGGAAAGATGCTTAAGGGACCCTAGAACGCATCCCAACTGGATTTCTGGAGAAAAATGGCTTTGATAAGTTATAATGCTTCAATATTTTGGGGAAAAGCCAGTCAAAATTATTTATTTTTCTTTAAAAAAACTGATAATTTTTGCCAAAATCTTCGAAATTATAGCTGTTTCAATAGTGAATGATACTCCCCTGAAATCAAGAGGCATTTCTGCAAAGTTTGAAGAAAAGTCATTTTTTGGCCAAATTTGATCAAAAATGGAAGGCTAACCCCTTGTAATTTTTTCAATTTTGGTCAAAAAATGAAATTGCTCCAAACTTCCTGGAAAGATGCTTAAGGAACACATCCCAACTGGATTTCTGGAGAAAATTGTCTTTGAAAAGTAATGCATCAATATTTTGGGGGAAAATCAGTCAAAATTATTAATTTTTTTTTTTTTAAATGATTTTTTTTGCCAAAATCTTCGTAAGTTTAGCTGTCTTAATAGTGAATGATTCTCCCCTTACATCAAGAGGCATTTCTGCGAAGTTTGAAGAAAAGTCATTTTTTGGCCAAATTTGATCAAAAATGTAAGGCTAACCCCTTGTAATTTTTTCAATTTTGGTCGAAAATTGAAATTGCTCCAAACTTCCTGGAAAGATGCTTCAGGGACCCTAGAACGCAACCGAACTGGATTTCTGGAGAAAATTGCCTTTGAAAAGAAATGATGCGTCAATATTTTGGGAAAAAAATCAGTCTTAAATTCTTAATTCTTAAAATAATTATTTTTGTCAAAATCTTCGCAATTATAGCTGTCTCAATAGTGATTGATACTCCCCATACATCAAGAGGCATTTCTGAGAAGTTTGACTTCATGCAGGATTAACATGTCTTATTCTTCTCAGCGCATTATTTTCAGAATGGGACAAAGTTAATTTACTAAATCACAAAAATACACAGTCATAATATTCTTTTTTTTTCAACCAACCTTTATTTATACTCACACTGATAATAAGGATTTTAAAAACTTTTTTATTTTGCATCAAGAAGTTTTCTGAGTCCATTGTAGAAAAGTCCATTTTTGGACCAAATTTAGTGACTTGCCTCTGGCCCATTGTTCAACATTTTACGCTCCGTGTGCACACCCCAGAGTGTTGAAAAATATGAGGTTTCGGCAAGAAATCTTGTACAAATACTGTTGAAATGACTCTTGCGAATCAGTTTTTGTGGCGTTTGGCTGTACATGTATATCAGAAAGTGGCTTTTATATTTTGACTTTTTGAAAATCAAAATTTTTGGCAAAAATAATCCCGGCTCGACCTGATTAAGGGATTGTGAAGCAAGGTTTGTACAATTTATCTTCAGAATAGAACAGCGATTCATCGGATATTTTTTTACTTTTTCAAACTTCCCTCTTATTTTAAGCATTAACCTAGACAAAAGCTGAGCAGATCGTGTTGCTTCCCTTGCTTTTCATGTTTACAAATAATGTAATAATATTTCACACAAAAACATCTAACAAAACTTTTACTACTGAATGAAATAAATCTTTAAAAAATTGGAAATTTAGCTGTTACAGCAACCCTTGTCTTTTCAGATCCTCAAAAACTTTCTTGTTGACGACGTTACCAGTTGAGTCTTCAAATTCTTCCTACAACAACAAAACATGAAAGAGAAGGAATAAATTCACTTATTTGTTTAAATATTGGGGGGAATTTGAGTCTTTTTCTTTAAGTAAAACTAATTAAAACAAGCGCGAGTGTACAATAAGCTCTGGCCTGGTTCCGGAATGTCTCGCTTCATATGTAAAATAGACACGCATGCTCATCGATCGAGACAAAGGGGCGTATTCCGAAAACTTTCGCCAAGAATGCATTTACTGACGACGGCATTGCATTCGGTCAATTTTTGGTCAATTGGTAGTTATATTTTATGGAAAACTTAGGGGGCCAGGCAGTTACAATTACTGATGATTACTTTTTCTCACAATTTAATACTTGTACTATTCCAAGTGAAGCTAACAAATAATCTCTTCAAACAATCAACAAATATTAAAAACGAAAGTCACTGACCTCTGTGTCTGGACGCCATCTCTCTGATGATTTCGCTTCCTTCAATTTCTCCCACACTAAAGAAAAAAAGAATGAAATATACACACAAGTTTCACTCAGAAATTCCAAAATTGTATACTTTTTCCCAGGGAACATGGAAAAAAAAATTAAAAAAAAAATAAAGTTATAAGAAATAACATTTCTGAAAGTATTCCCTATTGTGCAGTTTATCCTGCCAATCCTCTGAAAGGAAAAAAATGTCAACATACTTCATAATAAATTTATGCCAAATATTTTCTCTAATGTAAACTTCTTAGGCCAAAAAAAAAATAAGTCGGTCTCTGGTCAGCGCGCGCGACGATTTTAATCATGCGCGTCAATCTTTTTTTTTTCCAAAATGTTCCGCGGTAGCTCCAACAGCGCCCTCTATTGCCGCACCTCCTCAAATTTTTTTTACCAAAGAGCACCAAGGAATGGGAAATTGCACCAAGGTAAATGATCGAGAGCACCAAGGCAAATTATGGAGGACACCAATGTACATGAGGACACCAAAAAAAGCAAAATAGTACCCCACCTTGTCTGTACAATCCAAGCTGGAAGAAAAAAAAAAAGCAAAAAAGAAAAGAAAAAAAAAGCCGCATCGCCACGTCAATTCCGGAACTTTCGTCTGACCAGAGACCGAATATTTTTTTTTTTGGCCTTATCTGTATTTTTATGACATACATATTCCTAAATGTTATACGTTGCTACAACTAATGGTAGATAACACACAACAGCCAGGTCATGAACAAATGTTTTAAAAAAAGTGTAGCTTTTTTTCACTATAACTGAACTCACGTGACAGAGCGTCTTCGATCAGCGTCACGTTCGCAAAGTGGGCGGTGTTTGGGATACCCAAGCAACGCATCCCGTGGGCATGACGCCACTCCTACAAGCCAAACAAGAGAAAAAAGAAGTTATTTTATCATTCTCGATCTGAATATCTAAGCCAAATCACACCAACCGTGCCAAATTGAAGATGATTATTTTTTCAGGGGAAACTTGGCAGAAATTGTGGCTGAGAAGGTTGAATATTGATACATTTCAATAAAGAACTGAGACTTTGAAGTTATAATATGAGAACTTTTTTTTAAAACAATTTACAAATAACCTTCTCACAAAACACAAGCTTTCTTATATTTTGTTTTGTTCTTGTCAAAATAATCCCGGCATGAACTGGTTAATCAAAGAATTCAAGGCATCTACTCACAGCGAAGTGTCTCTGGAACGCCTTGGGCCCACGGTAGGTCTGATTGCCACAGATCTCACAGGAGTAAGTGATGTTTAGACCGTGGAGCTTGTACAACCAGTAGGGGATAGGCTGTAGAAGGAAAATAGAGAAGATTAGAAATTGCTCAGACCATTCCACTCTTAAAGCCAGAAAGACATCCCCATAGACTTGTTCAAACTTAAATGTGCCCTAACCCAATATTCCCTTGTCCTTTTCCCCCCCAATTTTGCTATGTTTACTAATTAGACCACAAGCAACAAATATAAGCTACCGTAGTTGCAACAATAAAATTGTGCCTCTAAAGGGGGCTGTGACATTCGGGAGACATGAAAATGTCTCCCTAATGACAGGTGTCTGCCACCGTTTGAGGGTGCTAGTCCGTTACGAGCTTTGTAAGTAAGAAGAAGGATCTTGAATTTGATGCGAATTTGTTGCCAGTGTAGGGCACGAATGTTTCTGCCATTTAATACCGAGGTGCTTCTGAGTGTACGGCGATCACGTGCCCCGATTGGTTCATGAGAATTCCGCTCCCCACAATTTGCGTTCTTGGCTTACCTTGCCGTCCCATCCGAGGGGGAGGTTCTTGGGGTTATAGATGACCTCATTATCATCGTCGTCGCTGTCGCTGTCACTGTACTGCTCCTCTTCGTCATCTTCGCGCTCCGCGTCCGTGCGCGCCTGTTTGCGCTGGATGTTCTCGCGCGTGGCTAACCGTTGCTCCTATTCAAACAACACAAATGTGGGATAATGCAAAATAATTAAAATTCTCGTCCAAACTTTTTGAACAAAGGATGATGCAGGCACTTGTTTGGCAAATGACGAATCTAAGATGGCGGACGGTCTTTTTTCAAACCATCCACTGCCGCTTGTCTGATTTTTTTCCAGGACAGCGGAAACTCTTTTTCTGAAAATGGCCATCAATTATTTTAAGACTAGCTCTGTAACCTCAAAATGGTTACTAATGTTGGAAACATATATTCAGACAAAAGATATTTCTCATGGTGAAAATATCATAAAACCAGGCAGATTTTGGTAATAAAAACTGAGAAAAAAATCTTTTTTTTTGGCCTAAGATTTGAAGGTTTGCATGGCGAAGTTTAATAGGCAAATTTATTTCGTGTCATTTTGATGAGAATCAGTGAAATTTGCCAATTTCAGACAGTATACTCCACCCATTATCATTCATCAACACAAATGTAGACAATTGTCTGATCAAGTTTAAAAAAAAAAAGCTCTACTGCAGAACAATGTAGGCTCTGTTGTGCCAATTTGGGGATCCAAGATGGCGGACCAGTTGCTTCAAGGCGCACCGGCTAATAAGCATGTAGCAGCCAGTCTAGTTAGTATAGTTGTCAGTGGATGTGGCCTTTACTTTTGGTTTTCTTTGTCTGGTACCCAGACTCCATTAACAATTCCTGCCAAGGCTAGACTCACCCCCAGCAGTTCAGCAAAGAAATAGACCTGTGCCTCCAGGAACGCCATGTCCTTCTGCTTGCCGCTGTTATCCCTGTCGAGGGAAACCAAAAAAGGAAAAAAAAGGATGAGCTTGACAAAAGGTGCTTCAGGAATTGATAAAAAAATGGGTCTGTAAAGTTGCTCTGAATCCTTCTACATTACACAAATTTATGAGTGGATTTATAGTTAACATTAAACGTGTCTCTTACAAACAAGTTGACTCCACGTTTCATCTATCGGAAGATCATCTGATTAATTGTATCAGGCAATTAAATAAGAAGTTGGGTTTTTTTTGTGGAAAAAAAATGTGTTTGGTAACAACGTTTTTAGCAACAGCTCTCATTGGTTTTGTAAACACATATTTCAATCGTGGACTATCGTAATCGTGGACTATCGGACTAACGTATTGTTTGTGCCCTCACCCTTTTGTCCTAGGTCCATGATTGCCGTGTTTACATACTCACCCACCCACCCACGTTTGTTTATGGTGTCAATCAAGGATTTTCTATTGTTCCTCTTCCTTTTTCCTTTGTTTATAACTTTTTTGCAACGGCTCTCATTGGTTTTGTACACGTTTTCTAATCGAGGTCGTCCTTGATTTGGTTCCTGTCCTCAATTCATCGATGATGTTGCACATGTGTGTCCTCGATTTACACCATGAACAAATGCACCGACCCACCCACACACCCACGGAAGGACAAGGCAGAAACACTATGCCCCTTTGGGTTTGCTGCAGGGCATAATAAAACGTTTACAGCATATTTAGAAATATTCAGGATCACAAATTGCCCCCCACAAACAAGAGTTTTTTGGTTGTATCTCCATTTCAAAGTCTGTCCTGATGTAACTGGTTGTGAAAGGACATGTTACAAAAGCTAGATCATAAAAGTATGTTTACTTTTTGCCTGCTTTGCCCGATTTGCTCTTGGCAAACAGGGAGGCGTCCAGCTGGTCCATGGGTACTCCCTTGGTGCTGAATAGTCGAAGTGCTCTCTCCTCCAACGTCCCGCCACACTTCAAGCCGAGAGCCATCAGAGCAGACTTGAGACGATCCAGACCCAGGGAGGCCAATTCCTAGATGACAGAGAACAATGAAGGAACGGATGAAAAAGATAACATTGCTAAAAATCACAACGTTTATAGCTTAGAAGCAAAAATAATAGCTAAGGTTTCAATGGACTATTTGTTTTAGCTGCTTTGCGCCAAAGTTGTAGCATCGAGCTGTATACTCCACATGGAGCTGAGATTCTCAGGCTTTATATAAATAGTCAGGCTCTTATGTAATATATAATTACATTGAAAAAACAACAACATCAAACAGTTTTAATTATTTAAATTTGATTTTTGGGCAGGATTTTTGTAAGACTTTTAGAACCTTGCTACATACCTCAGACGATGAGAAAGCGGAGAGATCCAGATGTGCTCCAGCATGCGCTAGTGCACTGGTTGCTTCTTTCTGTGAGAGAAGGGAGAAACACCGGTAAATTTAATGTCATGTTACAACAGAGAGCTATTCATAAGATGGAATTTGCATCGGGGTGATGTAAATCAATATTAGGTTTTGCCCTTCACCCACGTATAAACACTGTATACTCGGAGTGCTACCTCCCGAGTGAAAGTTGGAAAAAATCACTTGGGTGGGACTCGAACCCACGACCTGCTGCTTTCTAGTGCAGACGTCTTAACACTCGACCACCGAGCTAACTATTTACATATATACAGGAACTATTTACTTAACAAGTTTCAGATTATTTGCAGAAAGTTCTCACAGGTTAAACTAGTTCCCACCCCTACTGAGGTTGATCTCAGCTTGGGCTCTGGTGTTTAAATCCTTAAGCAGGATAGTTTACCTCAATTGTTTCTGTTCAAAGAAGTCACAGTGTTGAAGGGTTGAAGGTTTTTTTTTTGGCTTTTTGGACTTACCCCCCATCCAGGGAAGGTTGCCCCTTCCCACTGCCCGTCAAAGTCCAACTTGATCTTCTCCAGTTCCTCCGAGATGTCTAGCAAGGGTTTGAGGCGGCGCGTATAGCCTTGCAGATAGTCCAGCAGAAGCTCCAGATACCTGAATCAAAAAGCAATGGTTAAGGTTGTCTAAGGGGCGTGGCAAACACGCAAATGGCGATAGGTCAATTCCTTTTAAAGCTAACCGGGTACCTTTTCCTCCTAAATTGGCTTTCAACTGAATGAACTGGCACGTACCTTCTGTATTCAGCATTTTTCCGGTCTTTCTGGATGCTGAAGAGCTGATCAAACGTAGCCAGGTACGTCAGATAATCAATTTTCTGAGATTGAAAAAAAAAGTTACACAACTTTCAACTTTCTTTTAAAGATGGCGTCGCAAGTCAAACGGATCGACTGCAGCCCTAATTATAATGTGCCATATTTTGACACATTTAAATGAGACAAATCCAGGGGTTGAGATCGCGCAAGGCATGATGGGAAAAAACATGGCGCAGCAAGATCTCATACCCATGGGAACGAGGTTGAAGTGAGGCTGGAAGGAAAAAAAATAGTCTGATTCCTTTTTACACCAAAAATTATCATTCAGTAACTGTTATTGGATACATGGAACATGACTGAAATGGTGACAGCATGATAAAGGTCTATTCAGTCATACAGTTAATATCGGTTACCAGCCAGCAAAATGAAATGAATATTAACACTGAGGTGCCGCCATACCTCAATACTCTTGAGATTGATGTATTTATCGTAGCATTCATGGAGGTCCAGGTACTTGCCGTATCCCTCTTCATCGGTGAACTCCACCAGGGTTTGGTTGTCTTCTCCTGGGTTGGCGCGCTCCTCGTCCATCCGCTCGTAGTCATAGGACATTGGAATCGCAATCTGAAAGATAATCAGTGATAACGTATAAAGTGTCGTTAACTCTTGTAGTCAATATTCAGAGCAATACGTAAAACCCTTCAAAACCCTGCAGGTCAGTTTCAGGTGAAGGGATATGAAGTGTTAAAGTAACTATCACACCGAGTGCACACAAAATATCCACAGTACCGTGGAGAGCAGTGAAGCATTGACAAATCTGCATGCTAGCCCTGAGATTAACCACACACAAAAAAATTGTGCAGGAATTTGAAGTGTTATTCAAATTCCATACTCCGCAGAAAACTACCTCGAAGGAATGTGAAGTACGGGCGCTAACTCTATGGGTTTCGTGCACAAGTACCCCCTCAACGGCCAGAGAAGGAGAGTTGGGGGAGACCTAGACTGGTTCCTGGTACATCCACTTTGTATTTCGAATGATCCAAAGTTATGGGGGCCGGGGATTATTCTGGGAGACCATTGCAAGTTATATTCGAATTCAGCGTCTGAGACACGCTCTCACTGAGCCGATTGCAGCTTCGCATTGTCGCGCACTGAACCGACGAATTATAGCAACCACGCGCGTGTGTGTATCGTGTCAACGCTTGTGCGCACTTCGCCGAATAAAAAAACGAACTACTAACAGAAATTTTCAATGATGTGTCTTTAGACCCATCGTTGGAAAGGCCTTCTTTCATTGATATCTTCAAAATGACAGCTTGCCAGAAAGGATAATTTCACAGGGAGTTTAGTCCCATTACTATCTTTAAACCAAGTATGCTTTTCAACAATAATTAGGTCAGCTCCTTTTTGGATAGCTGCAAATGATGGACTGCACCTTTAAGACGTACCTCATTGGGATGCTTCCTGTGGAAGTCCTTAATGACCTTCAATCTGGCATAGAATTCTTGGAACTCGTTCGGTCCTGATAACGCTTGCACCTCCTCTTTTCGCAGACTGGAGGAAACGGAAAACCAAAGAACACAAACTGTGTGCATTATAATATCGGTACAACATCTGTAAGTGATTTTAAACACATTATTCCTGCACCGTTGTATTCTGCGCCACACCCATGACACCTGCGCGCGCCAATCTACTTTTTAAGCACTACGCACGCGGCAAGGCACAAACCATACACACGGCCAGAGCAGTGTTTCACAAAAAAATTCATGAACTATAACAAAATCGTTAAAAAAGTGTGAATTTTTGACTTGTTTTGACTTTTTAACCGAAAGGTACAATTTTATGAATGCAAAAAAATTTGAGCCGAGCTGGTATTTAACAATGCTCGATATTAAACAGTGGCTTGTATTAAACAATGGCATACAAACAATTATCAGCCTCCAGGCCGTTAAATGTACTCGTTTAAAACCTGTCAAGCACATATTTATTCCCTTTATTCAAAAATGAATAAGTTTTGTATTTGCTACAAAAAATGTATGTATATAAAAACAAAATGTATTACTTAATTATTTAAAGGCAAATTGATGATGTAATAATAATAACCATATTTTTGTACCCTAGCAATAGAGGTTTCTTGGTAAAGTGAAACTTACCCATCCTTGTCTTCATATATGTCCCTCAGTGTGGATGTATCGTCCATGTATTTCTGGCAGAAATTGTGAAACAAAACGTCAACTTCTTTTTGGATTTTAGGAGCGATTCAAATGCATGACATTACTGTCCAAAAATAGTTGAATTTCAGAAAAACATAAAAAGTCAAACATTAGTATTCCTCATTATGATATGGCAGGTCCCATTTTTCATCTACTATTTTTCTTATCCAAATTTATAGTTGGGATAGTTTAAATTTACTGGAAAAGCAGCATGCAAAAACCTAAGTGTCTTGCAATGATTCCATTGAAAATACTAAAATGGATTATCAGCGCCCACTCACAGCACAATAGCGTTAGGAAGAAACATTCCCGGTCACGGCAAAATATCTACCGCCAAAATAAAAACGGACTTACATCAAGTAGTTTCCTGGTCCGCTGGTCTGAGTTAATCTGCTCGCGGTTCTAGATAGGGAGCAAAAGTGGATGAAATAATGGTTTGGCTGTTGGCGGTTAATACAATGTACAATGTATTAAATAAAAAACTGAGCGTTTTTGTGTTATTCCTGTATTATGCGTGCAAGAACAACTTTCGGGGTCCACTTTTGTGACCCCAAAATGTCGACTGTTCGGGTGCTTAGTAGTTGTGATCATGGGCGTCGCCAGAATTTTTTCTAGAGGGGGGCAAAAAGATTTTTGGCAAAAAAATGTTTGTATTTCTCAACACATTCTCGATTTATCAGTTTTAGAGGGGGGCAGGGACATTTTGCCCCCCCCCCCCCAACTCATTAAATTTACACCACTTTGTCTTCGCGCCTCTTTTTTTTTTTTTGCTTCCTTTTTTTTTTTTTTTTTTTTTTGCTTTTCCAGGGGGGGGCAAGTGCCCCCCCTTGCCCTCCCCCCCTCGCGACGCCCATGGTTGTGATTTCATCCGTAAAGTGTTCGCCTTTTGGTTGGTTTCCTTTCAGTTTCAACCAGATGTTTGAAATAATTGCCTTTATCCTACCAAACATGGTCACTGCTTTTCGAAATGTTGTTGAAAGTGCAAATTAAATTGCCATGCATACGACTCACTAGTCAGTACGGGCGCACGCACTAACTCGAGGATTGTCTCAGTCTGTAGAGAATGTCCCCCAAAACAGGGACAGTCGACCCCCGAATTTATTTTGGAGCAGCGCTGTCTCCCGATTTGGATAATGTCCCCCGATCGGGGGACAAACGTTTTGAGCCTGGTGTCCTGACTTAATTGACCTGTATGTCATAGTAGGTTTGGTTAGGCTGGAGAATAATCTTGGGCACGGCAGATTCGTGTTTTGTTTTGCACGATGTGAATGTTTTGTTCTCAAAATTGTTTTCTTCATATTTAGCACCTTTTGTGAAATCTTTTGAGTGATGACAGGGTTTTGGGCTAGTCTTTACAGATGACCTTGTTGATTGTGTTTAAATTTGATGTTGGGTGAGTACAGGATTGGTTTCAATTTCAGAACTTTTAAACTAAGTTTTAAAATAATTTTGCACGCTCATGATGACCGAGAATGCTACCCAACCCAGGCCCAATTATACGATACATGTATTTATAAACCAATATTTTTCAGGCTTGTTTGTTGAAAATGAGCTGTATAATTTTTTTCTGCTTTTTTCATTGTTATAAATAAATGTGACTAAACAAATTAGGGACAGGCAATAGTTGAAAAGATCAGCTGCTTTTTAGAAATGAACTCCTTTTGCTCAACCATCCCCATTAAATTAAAAAAAAATGTTTGATAAGATCGAAGTTGGCACAATTTTAATCATTCGTTCATTGATAAAGTGGTTCATTGTAACAATTAATCAGTTGTCATTTGTTCCAACTTACCTTTATGTGTTTTTTTTTTCATTCTAGGATTACCAACCTTCCAACGGTGCTTCTGTGACGGCAGTGCTAAATTCAATGCATCAAAGAGTGAACAAGCTGCTAGATATTGTTTTGGCTTTTGTTCAGAAGAATGCTAATTCAATATTACTTTGAAATTATTGAAGAAATATGATACCTGCTTTAATCATGTTCAGGCATGTCAGGAGAATTTTTGGCACAGAAAAATTCCTTAAAACGCTACAAAATGCTTTATTTGAAAGGACTCATTCAACCAAGTAATTTCTGTAGGTGAAAGAATATTATACCACAGGTCAATATTGTTGACATTGTTGTCGGACAAATTCATGATCGTGATATGAATCTTCTTGTTTTAAAGGTAGGAGTTAATATGTGTTACAAGTTTTAACTCTACTGGTTAGAATGAAACCTACAAAAAACTGAAATAAGATGTACTGAATGGAATTAATTACAAACAACAAAGTAATGTTGTAGGCAGAAAAACCATACAAAAGCAGCATCGGGGAAAAAAAACATTACATATTCCATAAACAATATATATAGTTGGTAGATTGACAAATACATTGAATGTAATAACCTGATTAGTTGTAATCCCTTGTGATTAATTTTTGAGTGCCAAAAAAGAAGGAACATTTATTCATTTCTCTTGTATTATTTTAACTGTTAGTTTGATTTTTGAATCGAAAGAATAAATACAAATGGAGCCAACAGGGAAATGCTTTTAAAATTTGTGAATACTGGTCTTTAATTTTAAATACAATGTACTTTTATTTACCACCAGATAAGACAGGAATAAGTATATTCACTTGGCATCTTCACTTGTTGATTTATGTTTATTCAACTTTCATGCACTAAAATGTAAAGATTGCGCATCATAATGAATTAGAATTGGATATAATAAAAAAAAGTCATAAAAAAGGCAATCAGGAAGCAGTCGTCAGGCATCTGAAGTATTCAGGTAAGTTCATTAAGAGCCATCTACACTAAGTGGTTAAATAAAAGTAACTTTTCACGCCAATTTGAATTTTGTTTAATCACAGACATGACAGAGAACTGCCAAATTACAAAATGCCCATCCATATAAACAATAATAGTGGTATTTAATTTCCCACTTGGTGATTTTGTCCATCAACTTCCCTCTGCAATCACCACTGACTGTGCTTGCTTTTCCTCATTGGTCATCCTCACCTGACAATATGGATATAAACAGTTAATTTAGTAATATAGAATTATGTGACTAGCCCAAATTAAAGTTGGGGAAAAATATTGTTTAGTTCATCATGACAATTTATTTTATGTACAGGTAGGTTGGTCTATGGTCGAATGTCGCACGTGCAAAACAAAACAAACTTTACCGTTTTCGATACCAAAAATCGATTCTTTGCATTGTAATATTCGACTTCAACAATGCTGTACCAATGGTACTGCCAGTATCGATACTATTGATATATTCGGTATCGATACTGGAACCATGAGGTTTGCAGCGCTGGAGGCCGAAATATTCTCCGGCCTGTAATTTGAGATTTATACATTGGATTACGTAAGTGAAACACTGGAAAGGGGTGTCTTTCGACAAGGAATCCGATTTTAGCATCCTTGACATGCGCCAGACACCCCCTGAGGGCGCAAGATCTTATCTTTGAAAACTGTCCCCATAAACGGAGACATTCCGTGTTTACAGGGACACATTTTGTCCCCCGATCGGGGGATTTCCGCGTTATTGAGGACAATCCGCGAGTTGGTGCGTGCGCCCGTACTGCTAGTAGTCCGAGAAACTAGGACTCTACAGATCACTTTTTTGTCCAAATGTTAAAAAAAGCAATCCGTAGAGTCCTAGTTTTGTTACTCGGACTAACGACTCGCGAGTTAAGTTGCAAGTAAATGACCACTGTTTTAAAAATGTTGGATTTTTTACAAATTACATCTTTACACAAAAATACAAACTCACAAAACAAATAATCCCTGATAAATATAATCTAGCCTATTCCATTGACTTGTTTTCAACTCACTTATTTCTTCCTTTTTATTTTCATTTTGGTCGAGGTCTCTGAATCAAACAAAGTAAAACCCGGTAAAATATAAAATGATAGCGCCCTCCCGCGGGTTTGTTTTGTCACACTCACCGAACTTTTCTTGTGCAGCGTTTCTTTCACCATGGCTTCAACGATCCGCTCTTTCTCCTCGTGCAACCGCCTCTGTTGCTCCAAAATGGTCTCCATGATTCCCTGATTTCTTCTTCTTCTTCTATCCTTCTACAGTAAAATAACCCCAAAAATAATACTTTACTTTTTCATGATTAAAATCTGCATCTGCCACTTCGGCTCAGAGACGTACACGGTGCGTTTTGCATGCTGTCATCATCAGCCAGCTAGAGGGCGCTGTTGATTTTCTATAGCGCCACCAAGAGGGCAGTTTTTGCCAAAAAGTAACTTTTTAGGGTTTTCCTCCGAGGTCAGCCTTATTTTTCGCAGATTTCAGGTGCCCGACGTAAAATTTGGTGAAAATGTTATCACGTGCTGTGGTGGTAAGAAGGTAATGCTACCAGTACTACTACTTTAGGCAATATTTCTTAGGGTGAGGCCTCAGTAAATGATGACAAATGTCCGGTCATATCGCATTCACCACAGCCTAAAAACTCCAGCGGTCGGGACATGCGGAGGGGGTGGGGTTAGCGTGGGGGGGGGGGGCACGCCTCACAGTGGTCACACCTAAGATGGGGACATGCATTTTTAAATAAATGTCATGTATATATATATGTATCATATTTCAGAACTCAGTTTCTGTTAACAATATTATTAACGTGGTTCATTTTTTGGCGATCATGTATCTACAGTACAGGCATGACAGGCATGACAGGCCCGGTTCCTATGAATTATGATGTCTTTATAAATATAAAGGAACAAAATCCACTTTAAAATTTTTTGACCTACCAAATTAATAAGAACATACAGGTATGCCGGTAATCCTTACTTTTAGGACCCCGTTTCTATATAGGAAGGGAAAGACTCACCAAAACAGTTGACTAAATGACACTCAAAATTGACATTCTGATACTTCTTGGCACATCTGAACAATTGGCAATGACACCTTCTTGACTTCTAAAGACTGCTTTAGCCTGCAAAAGTCACTTTGGTACTGGACAGACATCTGCAAAAGTCAGTTTTGAACAAAACTCGTAAAAAATAGAGGTGTCCTAAAAGTAAGGATTACCGGTATGCCATTGATAAACGGCAGGGTTTTGAATTTTCGAAGGAAATTTGGGGGTAAAATGACAATGGCAAATGGCATTGACAACGACAAAATGCAACACGAAAATAGAGATAGTGATCACTGCGCGATGCACCGTGAACGCGAAAGCCACGTTGGAAAATCGTGATTTCTACCCCAAGAAACTGTTCAAAAATTACCAAAAAGGTGTCTGCTTTAGGTTGACAATGTCAGTTTTCACCCATCAGGCTTCTTGCCAGCCGTGGTGTTCTGTCCGCCGCAAACTCCCGTCTGGAGCACACCCTCCCAGCCCTACCCTACGAGTATGGCGCCCTCTCCCCAGTCATCAACGCAGATATCATGGAGATTCATCACAAGAAGCACCACGCGACATACGTCAACAACCTCAACAATGCGGAGAAGCAACTCCAGGAAGCACAGGATGCTGGTATGATTGTTATTCCCAACTATAGTTAGGATGGTCCAAACTACATGTATGTATTGGATGGTCTAAAATATAGTCAGGATGTTCCCAACTGTAGTTGGGGCCATTGCTACAGTTGGGGTGTAACTAGTCCGAAAATTTGGGGCTTTTAATACTGTGCGTGACAGAGAGTCCCAAAACTTATAGTAAAAATGTGGAATACAAGAAAATAGACTGGCACATGAAAAAAAACAGTCCAACACCCCTTTAGTACTGCATCAATAAACTCTGTTTAAAGAAACATCTGGTGCCGGTCTCTATTTCTACACATCTCTCTGTAGTCAGCAACCAGACTGCCGAATAGGTCAGACTTTTCAAACAGTTGGACATGTGCCAGTTTAATCTTAAGCTTCAAATTCAAATCACTTGGCTTCAGTCTTAGGTGCAAAATATCGAAGAAAGGTCTTCTTTCAACATTGAATTGAGACTTCAAACTGGGCTGGTGAAATACTGAGGACCTTGTCTTTGCCTCATGAAAATCTTTGAGAATACGGGTGCAATTCCCACCAAAGCAAGCTTGTGATTTTGTTTTTCATACACACCCTCGGCATTAGAACATTACTTCCCAATATGAGAATTTTCCTAACAATTTATATTTATTTTCCAGGTGATATTGGGAAGATAATCGCCCTGCAGCCAGCTCTCAAGTTTAACGGAGGAGGCCACATCAACCATTCTATCTTCTGGACCGTCATGTCACCAGATGGCGGTGGTGAACCTTCAGGTATCAAAGTGGCTTTAACCTTCCCTGAAAATATCAAAAACAATATCTGAGTTTTGCGGTGGTTTGCCAGTTCATAGCAAAAAAAAATTGAAATGTGTAATAGTACATTGTGTTACATAGTATACCCTGATGAATCTATTAATCAGTTCACGCCGGGATTATTTTGACAAGAACAGAACGAGGCGCAGATTAATTTTCACTCGACCTCAAGCAGGCAGGTTGAAGCCATCACCCTCGGGCAGCACACTCATATTTCCGGCCTCGCTCGCTGCGAGCGGGTTGCTGACGGATATATTCCGACCTCACTCCCTGCGTGTTAATCCGTCGTCCGTTCCGAGTACCGCAAAACATTTGCGGGTATAAATGTCATCCGGTGCGAACTGGTTAAGCCATCAAGTGCAAGGGCAGTTTGGGACAGTGCAGACTAATGGATTAAAACCATGTGCCTCACTATCAATATGAGGATTTTACCACACAAACACGCGGTTCTTGTCAGAGGGGCTGGCGTTTGGCTAGGATTTTCTGGGTCAGTAGTTCAACCCCTTGCTATTAGGGGCTCTCATAGTTTTATTTGGCCATGTTTGAATGAGGAACTTGTGAAATAATAAATTTTTTAACCCCCAAAAAGTTGTTCAGACTTGATTTTAGGGCACAATTGCAGCGGAGAGTTTTTAGCACTAACCAACCACATTTTGCAATTGTGCCTTCGCAGGGGACCTCTTGTCTGCCATCAACCGGGACTTCGGCTCCTTTGACAGCATGAAGGAGAAGTTATCGGCAGCTTCCGTCGGTGTGCAGGGCTCAGGCTGGGGTTGGCTGGGTTACAACAAGTCCACGCGCACCCTCGCCATCACAACCTGTGCCAACCAGGACCCTCTGGAACCAACAACAGGTAATGATTGGCACCAAGATCTTTTTTATTATTAATCATTATTTCTGGTAATGAAATCAAGGATTGCTCAAAAGCGCCCTAGGCACTGTAGCTCACAAGCCTGAAGAAACCTGTAGAGAGAAGACAATGATAAGAAGCTACAGTTTTAGAGGTGGGAGGAAAACCCCAGAAGAATATTCCGGGGAAACCCACAGATTCAAGTAGGGACTGAAAACCCAATCCACATGTTGGCCAGGGCAGGAATCGAACCCGGGTCACAGTGGTGGAAGGCGAGGAGAGAACCACTGCGCAAACCTGACTCGCCAGACTCCGGCTAAAAGCAATTTCTAAATTGTAGTCATAAAATCAGCCAAAATGGGGGGAAAAAAATGTTTAGGACAAAAAAACCAAAAGAATAATGATCTCCATTTCTGAATGTTGAAATTTTGCAGGTCTGGTGCCACTGTTCGGTATTGATGTATGGGAACACGCCTACTACCTGCAGTATAAGAACGTCCGCCCAGACTACGTCAAGGCTATCTTCAATGTGGCCAACTGGACAAATATCCAGGGGAGATTCCAGGCCGCCATGGCTGACTCTTGAGGGCGCTCTTGGGATATTTGCATAAAATAAGACAAAAAAAATGTATGGGTGCAGACCTGGAAAGCCAATTTTTTTCCAAAAACAGCATAACAAGGCCAATTTTGTGTTGCATTTTCATAACTTGGAAAGTTTTGCTCTTGTCAAACCACCATATTCCAAAAAGAACTTTCACCCCTTTGTGTATTCATGGAATGATCGTGTGATTTCCAACGATGAAATTTACCTCCAATAGTGTTGGATTTAATTAAAGTTAAAAGGTAAAAGTCATGTCTAATTTCACAAGAATTGTGTGGTTTTAACTAACGGCCAGTTGTCATGTTAGATTCAATCTCTTTGATAATAGAAAAAAAAAGATTCAGAAATTCTAAGCTGAATGAAAATTAAAAGAAAAGTTCAGTATTTTCTTGCTCTTATCAAATGAAATGAGTTTCAGTTGCCTCGGAATGTTTTTTTTTATAAAAACGTTGGCTGAAGCAGAGGGATAAATCTTTACATCTTTTGGTTGCTTTGTAAGTCTGCAGCTGAATTTCAACAATCCTTTCTTCACAAAGAGAAATTGTCAAAAAACAAACAAGATTGTTTATCAACAATGGTTATCACTAGTAAGGCTAGCTGATGTGTAATGGTTTACAACAAATAGAACTTAATGCAGTTTGAAAAAATATATATAATTTTTAAACTTTCAAATTGGTAATTTTTTTGTGAGAAAAGAACATTGCCAATTTGTTTCCTGATATTAAGAACAATCTCAAATATTTGCAAAAAGAAAGAAATGTTTGCGTTGTGTGTAATAAAATGTTTTCAAAACAATTTTCTGCCTATAAATGTGTTTAAAACGTAAATTTATTGGTGTCTGCTTTTTGACTAAAGCCGAGTAAAAAAAACACGAATATAATTTCTCGTCCAGGCCTTTTTTAAATGAAAGGCCCCCAACCTCATCCCCAGGGTGTCAAGCAGTACGCGCCCACCACTACCTGCTCTCTCCCCCGGTATTGGTCATTTGCATGTGCAAGATTTTTGAACACGTATGCGAATGAGGAACAGTGTGGTGCCTGCTTGTGCGTTGCATTAGCGTTTGTGTTTGCAGTGTCTGGGGTAAAAACAGAATCAATTCATTGCGCCAGGAGTTAAAATGTTGCAATCTTATTGCGCCAATATGCAGTATCACATTTCATATTGATATGAGCAAATTGGAAAGGAAAGGAGTATTTTTGAGAAGGCGTGGATGTTATAATTACAATGATCGTGAAAACATGTAATGCACGTTGTAAATAACAACACCAAGTACACGATAAAAATCCATTACTAGCCAATTGCGATATCGAATCAGGATACAGGAAGAAAGTTTCCTATCCAGGGCTTACTATTAGAAATGAAGTTGGAAATAAAGTAAGCACTGGGGATGAGGTTGAGGTCCCCCCCCCCCCCCAGATGGTCCCAGATGGCCCATTTTCCAAGATGGCGGACGCGTTCTTCAATTTTTGGACTCTTGCTGATACAGAATGGTGTCCATAGGAACCATTACGCTTTCTACATAGCTTCAATTGACAAAATTTGCAAAATATATTGCAATGTATGAAATAACACTTTATTCTTTTATCATGACGGCTTTTAATCAGTCATCATCAATCATACAAAAATATCTTTTCCGTCCTTGAGTTGGCAAGTTTCAACCATCAAACTTTTTAACCAGCATTTCACAGTAATAAACCATCTAATTTAATAACCAAATCAGCTACAGATGATATGAGAATACATGAATGCTTTGTACTCATTCAATATATTTAATCCTTTAACTCCCTACTGTCTTTTAGTAAGTACTGGACCAAGTCTGCCAGAATCCATCAAAAACACTGCTTCCAATGCATGCTTTGCTTTAGGCCTCCAGGCCCAAGTCCATCATACTCCATCAATATTTAGTCAAACCAGGCCTGCAGGACCAAGTCCCTCAAAATCCACCAAATGGGGGATGGATTTTGATGGAGTTGGGAAGGTTAAGGATGAAGTGGCTTTTCCCCTCATTATCATTTTATCACACAATAGACAATCAGGGCATAAATTATTACAGTGTGCGTGCGCAAGGTTTACAGCCCCTAGAGTGGTAACAAGCATTTTGATTGACATTTAAAAAAGAAAGCTGCAATGCTATCACATATTATTGGAGTACCGAAGAATAAGACTAGCCTTTCCGGGTCAGGGGTTAATAGTCTGGTTCCAGACCACCCTTTATGTTGACCTTGCCAGCAGATCTTGTATGTACGGGCTGCTCTTAGCCTCCACTTCAGCCTTTAGTTTCTGCAGCTCAGTGTAAAGATCTTCCTGCGACATTTTGTCGGTGTCGAGTTGTGTGACTTTGTCCAGGAAATCTTGGATAATCTGCTCTCCATCCTGTTGAAGAAAAGTGGAGAGAATTGAATATGTTTTTGTCCAAGTTTGTCAACTTCCAGCTTGGATCAAAATATCTATTAAAGTTCCTGGAAAAAAAAGAACAAGGTATAATTGTGTGAGCAATAATTGTCTACCTTTAAAAGATCTTTCCAACGATAATCGCTTCGTGAGAAACACGTTTCAAAGCCAAAAGGATACGTTCCATTTAAAAGTCCAACGTGTCTTTGATGTTTGATTTACCTGTTTGTTCGACCTCCTCTTCTTTGCCGCTGGTTCATCCAGCCCCTCCCTACTGCTAGCTCCTGAGACGCTGATGCTCTGATAGTCCTCCAGCTCAGCCGCTTTCATCTTGGCATAGTCTATCACCTTCTGTGGAAAGTGGGCCAACTCAGCGACGTGGATTCCAAAACTCTGGTCGCACACACCTGCAAGATTTCATATTTTTTGTTAAATTTTGGACTTTTTTGTAACAACTTTTTGCTTGTCCTAGAAGTTCATCCTTGTACCTGTTCTATTTCACTGACTGACTGACTGTCACTTGTGAGTCGGGCAGTGCTATTGTATAGGATTACTCTGTAACACCAATGTATGGGCTGAATCGGGCCCACTGTGCAGACCAGACACATGAAGACTTCCACATATAGCCATTCTGAATCAATCAACACAGACACTTAAACAACCTGCGACATACAGACAGACAGACACACAAACAGACAGACTACAAACAGACATACCACAAACAGACAGACACATACCTGGTTTGACCCTATATAGCAATGTCAGTTGACCGTCGCTCGTCAGAGCTGTCACGTGTAGGTTGTTCACGGTAGGTACAGCGTCTGCTAGCGCCGTCAGCTCATGGAAGTGAGTCGCAAACAAACAGAAGCCCTGGATCTTCGTAGCAATGTACCTTGAAATTGAGACAAAATAAATTTGTTTTGGAAATATTGCCATGGAGTGCTGTGGTCCAATGGTTAGGGTGTCGACCTATGTGCCGTGGTACGTCTGTTCAAACTCGGACAGGGAGCAATGTGCTTGTGTTCTTGGGCAAGACACTTTACTACAATTGCCTCTCTCCATCCAGGAGTATAAATGGGTACCTGTGAAGGTAGAGACCTGATGTCACTTATCTCGAGCTGCTGCAGAGAAAAAAATGGTCTCGTGGCCTGATGAACAGGGGTAATAATTGTGAAGCGCTTTGAAACCTTTGGTAAAAAGCAGCAAGTGGTACATGCATCACATTATTGTTACACTATTATATCAGAATTCTTTCTTTCGTAATTCAAAAGTTTCAGAGAAATGACTAATCAACCTACTCCGAGATTGCCCAGGCCAGGCCGAAGCCATCATAGGTTGACGTCCCACGCCCGAGCTCATCAATGATGATCAGAGAGTTCTCAGTGGCAGTCTGCAAAACAAACAAAATTACCAAATCCAGAAAAACCGTCAAACTCCGTTTGGGTCCAATAATATAAGGAAGCTTTCACTTTGTTCAAATTTGACCCCGGCATATTTATCAAAATCAGGCCTTTTGATCTCTATGAGTCATCATTGCTCAATTTTTTAATCATCACAAAAATGGTGAAAGTTGCAATCTTGATTGAATATACCCTGAGAATCGATGCCGTCTCCAGCATTTCCGACATGAACGTTGAGACTCCCTTGAGTTGGCTGTCCCCTGCACCCACCCTGGCCAAGATGCAGTCTACCATGGAGATATCGGCCGACTGACATGGGACGAAACAACCCAACTGAGCCATCAGAACTACAACACCAATCTAAAGAAAAGAAAAATAAGATGAAATTCTGATAAAGAACAAGACCTTGCCTTATAAAATTGGAGATGTCTAAGAAATCCTTTGTATTAAAGACGTTTCTGATTTGTTACAACTTGAATGGATGGGTGACTTTTTGCCGAAACTACATTCAAAAAAGTGTATCAGATTTCGGGACATCCCAGTTTGGAACCTTGCTAGCATTTTTATTGTTTGAGAGAAATTTTGGGTAAAATATAGGCGATGACAAAATGTGACACGAAATTGCAGATGGCGACAATTACCATTGCATTGCACCGCACTGCAGTATCAATGCACAAAACCATTTCATTCATTTGGCACGAAGTGGAATACCATGTAAGAAAATTGCAATGTTTACCAAAAATACTCTTCACATTTACAAAAACTAGGGTCGTTAGAAGTCAAAGGAGACTGCCTATTTTAAAGGTTGAAGAAATCAATAAAAAGCACTACAACGTGTAAAGAACTAATAAAAAAAATTGAGAGACCCTGAAGTCTGAAGTAAACGTTTACTCCTTTACTTACCTGTCGGATATACGTTGACTTCCCACCCATGTTGGGTCCCGTGATGATATGAAACATTTGTCTCTCTCGCTCGAAGGTCACATCGTTTGGGATGAACGCCACGTCGTCTTGCACCTCCAAGCAGGGATGTCTAGCCTGCACCAGTTTGATAACTCCTTGACCCTTCTCGGTCAGGGTGGGTCGGACGTAGGAGACGGGAGCATGGGCAGAGACGTGGGCAAAGCTGTGGGGGTAAGACAAGGGGATCAGGTTGGAGTAGCGGGACTTTCCTTGCCTTCCACTACTGTGACCCGGGTTCGAATCCTGACTACGCCAATATGTGGATTGGGTTTTCAGTCCCTGCCTGTTTCTGTGGGTTTTCCTTGGAAAACTTGGTTTTCCTCCCACCACTAAAACTGTAATTCCTTTGCTTATCTTCTACCAAGGGGCCCCACTGGAATGATTGAAAAGACTTTTGTGGCCCATCCTTGCTAAATTCCAGATAGTCAAAATAAGTTGATGAATAACATAATGGAAAATATACAAAAACACTGCTGAATGCTGAATAACAACAAATACATAAACGACAAACTGCAACATTCAATCGAAAATGCACAAAAATTTCGTTTTTAACAAAATTAAGTTTATTACTCATTTGAGGATATCAAGCTATGCCAGCACAGTTGTTCTTTTGCCTCAAATTGGGACACATATTCTACATTGTATTATCACTGATAGCGTGTCGCCTGAGGATTTAAGCAGCTTAATATGACTGAAATAAACTATACTTGATATATTAAGCAAAAGCATGCTACCTCACAAGAACATCTAATAACATCTAAGAACAAATGTTACCTGACAAGAACATCTAACTGGGCGATGATGTCACTCAGGTTAAGCATGGGGTCGACATAACCAGCTGGAATTTAAAATCATAAAAATCATGAAATTCATATTTTTCAGGAAAAACAATTGGCATCTTTCAATTTTGGCGACTACAACACTTGAAACTTCAAAGGCCTTTTTCTCAGTATTTTACTTTATGACGTGTTGATAAAATGCGAACTTTCAACAGCCATAACTTGTCAACGGAATGACTGATTGAAGTGCAACAAACAGTACTGTATTTTTCTCCTTCCTAATATTTAGAAACCCTCATTTTGACCTCTGCCCAGTTCTGTCTCATTTTGCCAGAGCGCCTCACAAATTCCATTGCCCCTGCAAGCAACATTTTGGAAAATTCAACTTAAGACCCGTCTCAATTCATACCCGGGACGAGTTCCAGCCAAGGCCAAGTTCGGGCAAGGACCATTAGTCGACTAGTGGTTGATTTGTGACGTACCTTACGCCTGTGCACTAATAGCAACGTGCGAACGTCTCTAGTCAAACGCTGGTCAAAATGTCATCGCAAAACTTCTGGATCCTGGCTCTCTGCTAGCGTTATGAATGCGCACGGCTATTGGTTACCAGCGAAGCAACCAACCCCAGTAGGCTGGTTCCAAATAGTCGACTAGCGTAGTCAACCACCGTCGACTAGACAGAGTTCGGGCAAACGTTAGTTAACCATTGGTCAACTATAGTCCTTGCGCGAACTTGGCCCAAGTTGCAGGTAGAATCATTCACTTTGTCTGGAAGAAGCTCTGCATTTGTCCCGGACATGTTCCGGGGAAATTTTCATTAGCAACTGCTTGACTTGCCAATACTGATAACTTCATTGCAGGAAGATTGGGGGCAAGTTGTTCAGAATCCTGCAACTAATACCAGTGTCATGGAGTGTCATGGCCTAGCGGTTAAGAACACCGGACTCATGTTCTGGTGTTTCAGAGGCAACAGTGACGTGGGTTCGAGCCCGCCGGCGGACACTTGTGCTCTTAAGCAAGGCACTTAACCATTATTGCTTCGTCCTTCGGATGGGACGTTAAGCCGTAGGTCCCGTGTGTTGTATAAATGCACGTAAAAGAACCCAGTAAACACTTATTGCTTAGAGAAGGGGTTTGCCCCGGTGTTTCTGGCCTCCTGTATAAACTCCCACATGGAGTATTTAGGAGAAGAACCAACCAAGAACCAAGAACCAGATACAGTTTTCACAAGTTGTCCGGAACTCGTCCCGAATATGAATTGAGGTGGGCCCTAACTTCATTCCTACCTGAGATTCCCACTATCTCTGCGACCACCGCCTTCTGTGTTTCGTTGTATTCCTCTTTGGCTGCCATGTATTCTTCGTTCAATCCTCGTAAGTTGGACTGCGTGAAACGAACGCCGTTCTTGTTGGTATCGATGGTGGTGTATTTCTTGTTGTTTCGCAGAGCTTTTTCCTCCTATAAATGAGATGGTTAAATTTCATAAAATGGAAAGTTATCAATACCACATTGTTTATGTACAGTGTCATTGACTTAGAATTTGATTGCAAATTTTATAACAGTATGGTAACATATGAAGAGGAAAGTTTTCACCGAACTGACGACTGATCAAATAAAGGAAAAAGATTTGTTTCCAAAGAACATTTTAGCCACTGCACAACACTGTGCATGTATTTCTATTTACTTATCAACCCACCTGATGTTTGATCAGTCACAGACAGTAAACATTTTTCCACGTTCCCTGCCATGTATTTGTATACAGACTAGTAAAAAACAGTTAGATCACATTCGTGTAAACACTGTGACTAGTCAAATTCCATCAACAGACAAAAGAGAAACTGGTAGGTACAGCTGGCATATCAATCACCTCCAGTCAAAGCATTGCCATATCAAATTAACAAAGCCATTCTTAACGGTTGAAAACAGTCACTTGATTGATTTTGACTGCTGTGATGGTAGCTGAATTTGCCAGCTGAATTTGTTATGTTTTCCATAAAAACCATTTGTGCTAAGATGGTTTCGGACATTACAGGGAGTAAGCGGCAGTCGATTGAGGAGCTTCACCTTTCTTGTGACTCGGAAGAAGTATCCTAGCTGATTGTTGGACTCCAGCTTGATGGTCTTGTTGGCTTCCAGACCCAAGTCTCTCGCTGCTTTACCCAGCAAGCCCTGAATGTCGTTCTCGAGACCGTCCATCCGCTCTCGCAAATCTAAAGAAATGGCAGAAAGAAAAGTCAACTTTTTGCATGTTATCTCAATGACTGAAAGGTGGTATCAATGCAGCAAAAATGTAAACACTTATTCATAAATACCTCAGACAGTTTAGCCATTCCTATTGGTCGAGAGCCCGTCACGTGGCCGGTCTTAAACGGATGATAAAGACATGGCTAGCTGGTCTTAAACACTTTTCCAGTGTCGCAATAAAATGTAGACCCCTAAAAATCCAGTGCCTCTGACCGTTTCATTGCTTGAACGTTCACAATCCTCACGTAGGCATGCGCAACACTACCAGCGAGTCAGAATTTTTTAGTTCTAAATTCAAAACGCAACGCGCCAGGTGCGTTCTGCGCGACATCGCTCAGAACATGCCACGCGCGCGTCAATCTCCATAAAAGAGCTGTTTACATCTTACTCGCCAGCTGAACACTCCATTATTTTGCTAGAGGGATGTTTCAAAAAGCATAAAGTGAACTTGTTGAACAAATCGGTATTTTTTGAACAAATTATTTGATATTTTTTACCAAAAAGGTATTTATGAATGGGAATAAATATGTGCTCAGTCGGTATTTATCACTCTGTTTAAGACCACTTAGAGTCTGGGTGCTGATAATTACCCTCGCCTCCGGCTCGGGTAATTATCAGCACCCAGACTCTAAGTGGTCTTAAACAGAGTGATAAAAACCTCCAGAGCACACATTTATTCCCTTATTAACACAGGAATCGTGGACTTACTGGTCAAGTTTTCATCAAAGTCCGGTTTGATGAGGAAGTCGTGGTTCTGCACTTGTTCCATGTCTATCGTGGTCTCCACCATCTCCTGGAACTTGGCAAAATCTAGCAGCAGTTCCTGTCAAAGTATTTATAAATGACGTTCATCATAAAGAAAAGCCAAGTCAAAACAATCCCAAGAAGTTGATAAATCTTAAAGTTACAATTGGTTGAGTTTAATTGCCTGCACCAAAAATAAGACATATTAAATGATACAGTAATCATAATAATGCGCATTTCTGAAGCACGTATCCACCAGTATTGGTGTTCAAGGCGTTACATCATTATTACCCTGCTCATTGGGCCAATGAAACATTCCAAAGACAATCTCAGCTCCCTGGGGAGTATACAGCTCATGCTGCCATTTCGGCGCAAAGCAGCTAAAATCAATCACAATAACCATCCCTGCCCTCACAGGTACCCATTTACTCCTTGGTGGGGAGAAGCAATGAGTGACAAAGTGCCTTGCCCAAGGGCACAGGCACCATAACCCCAGGCTGAACCCACGACCTGCAGAATTACCTGCAGACCACAAATTCAATGCTCCAGACTACGAGGCCACGGCATTACACAGTAAAATACATCATTGGTGGCAATTGTTTGCTCCACCTGCAAAAATGTTGCCAATGTTGGCATGTACACATGTGTTGGCATTGTTTGGGTAAGAGGACTGCACCCTAGTGAGTTAGGGCTAATGTAATTCATAACATGAACTATGACCTTTATACCTTTAAAGGATTACTGAAGACTTCCCGGAGCAGACCGCTATTGCTACTGACGTGTCTGTCCAAAGTTTCCAGCACCATCGGCATGAACTCTATCACCTGGTAGACGCGGTAGCAATCCTCCAGCGTGGCCTTCTTGCGCTGTAGCTTCTTGGCGAGGCGTTGCAGGTCCGGGACGCGCTTCAGCTGTTCTTCTTGGAGGGTCTGTCGCAACTCGGTGTCGTTGAAGAAAGCCTCCACGATGTTCAGCCTTTCTTCTGTTGAGCAAAAGGCGAAAACAGCGAGCTAACAGAGGTTCTCAAAACTGAGAAGGATTTTTTGATAGCTATCTGTCCAAGAGCTTGTAAAAAAATGTGTAAGCTTGAACTTTTCCGGCAGGACTCAAACTCACTACCTCCTGTTTAATAAAAAGTAAATTCAGACATTTAATTATAAAGGAAATGAAATGACTCTGCGCAGGCAACATACTCCAAAGTGCTGTCCGTTTTGCCTATTTTTTAAAATTACATTGACATTTGTTGGTCGTAAAATTTCATATTTTTAACAAGTTCCTCATTCAAACATTGCCAAATAAAGTGGTGTGAGCCCCTTTAACCAGAGTTGAACTATTGACCCTAAAAATCCCAGCCAAAACCAAGCCCCCTGACAATTAAGAACCGCATGTGTGGGTAATAACCGCATGTGTGGGTAATGACTGCAAACGGCTGTTTGCAGTCATCTGAAAACTTTTACAACTTAAATTTAATAGACAGCAAATAGTTGTGTGAATTTGGAGACTTATTATTCCAAAAATATTGAAACTGACCTATTTTGTTTTTGTCGACAAGGGGCTGCTTGATCCACTGAGCCAGTAACCTTTGGCCTTGAGGCGTTTTGCATTTGTTGAGCAGGCCCAAAAGTGATGCGTTCTTGTTGCCAGCTGTGGAAACAAAAAATAGGAAAACATGTCTAGTCATGAATAGAAAGTAAAAATGGTTACAGTGAAAATGGTTATGGTTACAGTGTTGGACTCGTGTGCCTTGGTACATGGGTTGGAATCACTTTCTAACACTTTTGAGAGCCGTAAGGATGGGACACACAGCGTGTACGTACTGTACTGTCCTGAATGTGCCAAAGCTATAGCCACAGAGTCTTCGCGTGAGCGTCAGGCGTCGTCGGATTGAGGTTCGAATTGAACTTGCGATGGTCTCCCAGACTAATCCCTGTTCCCAATTACTTTGGATCATTCGAAATACGGAGTGGATGGACCGGGAACCGGTCTAGGTCCCCCCCCCCCCCCAACTCTCCTTTACTGGCCGTTGAAGGGTGCGCACAAAGCCCATACCGAGCTGGTATTTGTTCATCTGATCTTACCGTCTTGCGGTGATGGGAGTAGACTCAATGCCCTGACAGCCGCCGAATCCAGCTTCATGTACTGACTGAGGTCAAAGGTCTTCAAGCGAAACTGATTGAAGTTGCTCTCATCGCCTAGCAACTGAAAACATCCAAATTGACAAAGTGAGTGCAGCAATTCTATCGATGCTCTTTAATAACTCGTCAACTTGTATGTAATATTCCAGCCAGAAAACCTCTTAATTTTTTTTTTTTATATTTGGACGTCTGTAACCCTCTGAAAAAAGGTTTTTGTTTTGGTCACAACCGGATCCATTTTCGAGTAGATTGGCTGCTGAACAGTACATTATCGATATTGATTATGGGGCGAGAACACTGATCTCTATATAAAGACTGGATAGCGGATACCCATTCACCAGTCACATAGTTGAATTTACATTTTGACCAGTTCGCCACCGGTCTTTCAAAATGGCAGGTCAGTGGGCGAGAACCAGCCTATCCTGTGAGGATGGAATTATTGTCTGGCAGTCAATAAATCAAAATTTTAAAGTAATAATTTATTAACTAAGCATGGGTTGATTTCTTTGATCCATGTCACATGCAGCAGTGAATGTCTTACTAGAAAAAACGGGATGAAACTCAAAAATATCACGAGAAACGCAAATTTAAAGCACCTATATTCATTACAACCACTACACTGAAACAAAATGGTACCATACCTCTAAGTACTTGATCAATGCTGCCAGAGATGCCATAGCATGGAGCTTCTCCATCTCAGCAAGCGAGGCGGCATTTCGTTGCTCCTCGCTTGCCCCCTTCAGGAGCCGGTTCAGGTCTTGCTCCACGTCCTTGGTGCCGAACTCCGCCTTCTTACGCTCGGTGACGAGCAGCCCGCTCCGCTCAAGGACGCTCTTCAGCTTGGCGGACTCTGCAGCGCCCTCGCCTGACTGCGCGGGCAGGAGGCACTCCTTGGGACCGAGCTGGACAAGCAGAGCCTGAAATTTGACAAATAATGCAAAAATATTGAAAAGATGAATCTGGGATTTTCTTGTAACAAGTACAAAATGAACAGTACAGAAACACTTCTTCCATCGTTTCACCTCGAGATTTGAGAACTGTTCATTGTCGGCAAATTGGCACACTGCCAACTCTCTCAGGGTGGCGTCCGCGTATCCAACTCCCACGATCTTCTGCCCCGCAGAGCCCTCAGAGACGTGCTTGACCGCTATCACGCTGGCCGAGGCGGACATGTCGTTGCTGGCGCCGAAGAGGATTTCTTCAAATTGGGTCAGGTTTCCAGGAGAGGCCTGGAAGAAAAAAAACAACATGTTATTTTACAGAGTTTTGTGAAGATATACAGAAAAGATACAAATGACTCTTGACTCAGAACTCAAAAGACTCAAAACTCGGACTTTAACTCGATTCAACTACTACTCATTTCATACTCTCATAAAGCACACTGCCAGTCATAACCGTGAAGGTATACAGAAAACACATGACTTGTGACTCAGACCTGACCAAAATGACTCAAAAACTCGGACTGGAACTCAACTCAAGTGACTCAACTACTACTCATTCCAAGTTCTCACCTTGAAAGCACACTGCCAGTCGTTACCCTTCCCAGTGGCCATGTTCTGATACACCTCCACGCGATACTGGCGCACCAGCAACAGATCACGGACCATACTCTCAAAATTCATCTTGCTAAGGATCACGGAGGCCATTTTCCTCTCACCTAGAAATTCACACACAGAAACAAAACACAAGGGCAAAAAGAACAAGGTACAGTATTAGAAAAAGCAACTAGACAAGGCAAGTTGCCCCCTTCTACACTGATAGTATCTTTTTCTCTGATTTACAAAGACTCATTACAGACTAAAGTTTGAAAAATCTCATGCCCGATACTCATTAACTCTCCTATGCAACCATACATTCTCTGCCAAGTAGTCCTTTCAGACAGTAAAAATCAAAGAAGTGACTGTTGTCAACAGTTAAGAGCTCCCAGCCTACATAAAGCAGGATTGACTGGCCCTGACTGTTAATAAAGTAACTTGATACAGCTATGCTTTGACTCCGGGTGATTGGTAAGCCAGCTGTGACCGCAACTTGCCTGCTTTGTCTGTTCATGGTCTGTTGACTGATTTTGACTAGTCACAGTGCTTGCTTGACATATGATCTGACGGCTGGTGACTAGCCTGTGTTAAAAGTTCAGCAGGGGTAGTGGATGGAAATTTGGACTGTCTGTGACTGTCTGTGACTTTTTAATATCAGGATGTCAGAAAAACAATTCGCAAAATGTTAATTACCGGATCCCAAGTATTTGACGACACCGAGTGTTTTGAAGCATTCCCTGGCAGCGAATAACGCATCCTCTCCATGGACAGTATAGTAGTCCTGACAACGGTAAACAATATAAAGTACAAAAAATAAACGGGTGAAAATTGGTAAAAAGAGGCAATTTGGGGCACTAAATTTTACTGATGGCAAATCAAATGTTTGTACCATTATAACCTAGGAAAAGTATCAGTATGTATGGCCCTTTCTAACGTCATGTCACTACCGTGCCGTACTCAGTTGAGTTGAGCTCAACAATGGCTCAGCTATAGCACGGTTGTTGCTCTAAACGCTGCGCTTATTAGTTGAAGTAAATGTATCTAGGGTGGTTTGCGGGTTAAATATAACTTTCAAGTACTTCAATGCAGTTTCTGCGGCATCAAGAAATCGCGCCACATTGACTCCTGGTTGTGTTGATGTAGGGGACGTTATTGTATGTGCATTCCTGAAATGTTTGCCCAACGTTCTCTTTCATCACAACATCACTTTCTTTTATTAAAATCTACTTACCGATCTATCAAAAACTCTGAATGTTGTTGAAGGTTTCTGGGAAAGGAAACACAAATAATATACTAGTCAGAATAAATCAAATTAAAAAAGCAAAATGCGTGTGACGTGAACGACAATTGTTGGATTTTTCAGAAAGAATGTTAGTAGGCCTACATCCTGATGCCATGTATTATCTCAATGAAGGTCAGTCATTGCAAAAATGTTAAAAAGACATGAATCTGGGACGAGTGAGAAACATTTCCAATTTTGTTAGGCCAAATAAAAAAAAAACATTTTTAGCGTCCTAACTTTTGAAAAAAAAGGAAGAAGGCCCTTTATTTTCTTGTTTTTTTTCCAAAATGGCCCCCGACCCATTTTCCAAAACGACCAACCAGGCTACTTTTTAAGATAGCCACCATTTTTTTTTTTTAAATGGCCGCCACTTGGACGCAGGAAATGACATACCAGCTTTATTATGGGCTAGATCGACAAAGTGGCCAAAATGATGTCACTGTTTAAAATTTGTCATTTCTTCAGGTTTTTTTTTTTTTCCAATTAAAAAAAAAAAAAAGGAGGCGGCCTCCAAAAATATTCTGCTAAATTTTCTGTACAACTCATATTTGTATGCAAGTATTCTGTCAAATGTAGCCCAAAATGCGGCTAGAACGGTCACTCCATCACAGTATAGTAGGCCTAACTGCGGATCACAATCGAGTATTTTTTACTAAAGATTGAAGCGTGGTTATGTATATAGCAGCGTTCACAGGCCTAGAATAGGATATACTTAGAAAATGTTCTGACTCTCGGGTCATAGGCATGGCCATGGGATAGTCCATAGACTTTAATCACACCATGACAACTGCTGAATTAAGTGGCATCTGGATACTACATTGGCACAAATGCAGAATACCCCGCCACTCGATCTACGCACCTCGTAGCTGGCTACAGAGTCACGGTTGATTGCCCTCAATAAATGCGTCATGCTCCACTGCACTCCCACTCCGTATCCGCGTAGCTGGCAACAGCTAGGCATGCTAGGGTAGTTGGTTTGGACTTAGAATTTTTTTCAGCAACTCCCATTCATTTTGTGTTGCTTCGTTCTCAAGGGGACCCCCACTCAGTCATGTCAGTATCCGCGTAGCTGACAATAGGCCTACATGGACTTGTTTCTTTTCCAGTGATTTCAACTGAGTCGTAGCCAGAGAATTTATTTTAGGGGTGTATTTCCGAGTGGCGGGGTATTCTGCAATGACTCCACTACATTCTTTCCAATTTGTCTTATTCTTAAATATCTGTGAAAGCCTAAGCAAGACATTCAAATTCCACCCCACAATGCCAACCACGCCCACAGACTATCGCACGCGCAGGCAATACTCACCTCGGGCATCGAACGCAAGAAAGTTAGAAAACCTTGCTCCTGTGTACTGTCTGCAAGACAAAATATCAACAAACACATGATTTATACTAAATATAGGCCAGAAACCTAAATTATAATTTGATTAAAAACTATGCTGCGAAAAGTCAATGCAAATGCGTAAATAACTCGATTGTTTTACCCATCGAAAGTTGTTGTTTCGACTGCAGCGCCATCTTGAATGTTGTTTACCTCGCCGAGCGTTTGAAGGCCCTTGATTGGATTGGTCTAAATTCTTCAATGCGCGGCGTACTGCCCAATCAATAAGTACGTACCATTTGGAGTTATCCGGCGCGAAAAAATTCCCGCGTGTTCAACCTCTTATCCAGGGTTTGTTTTAACCTCATACTCCTCGTTGCATCAAACATTACGCTCCCACTGGCGGCGCTCTTGCATCAGAAAAAAAAAATCATACATTATTATACAGAAGCATATTACAATGTATTCGCAGTGGCGACAGATCGACACTGATTTTTAAGCTCTGGCAACAGAGCTATAACAAGTCACTCGGGTGTCGGTTGGTCGGTCGGTCGGTCCCCCCCCCCCAAAAAAAAGTGACCAAAAACGAACCCCCTATCTTACCCACTCCTACCAAATTGTAACTGTCAAAAAAAAACCAAATAAAATGCATTAAATACTTTGGGGCAAGCTTCATACCAGAAATCAGAGACTTTTTTTTGGCCTTATATAGCCACGTGGTATTTTTGTGCTATACGAACTTTGGAAGTTAGGGGGCTTCTACACAGCTGTCAGTCCCTGTCACTATACATCACCCCTGCCTCTGGCCCTGTGTCAGTTTTATGAGTCTCCATGGCTTGGAGTAAGGATACCATTGCATTATGAAGGTCACTATTGTTTTGCATTGTGACTTTCAACCAAATGGGAAATTGTTATTTCAATTGGCAATCACGGACAGGGTGAATAGTGACCAAGTGACCAATTGTATAATTTCATGCAAAACTTTCATGCAAGACGGCCAGAGATTATTGTGCAGTCGCACTTGTTTTTTCAAACTTCAATATTATTACACTAAATGTAATAATCATAAGCAAATTGAAAACTGATCAGGGGTAGTTTTTTTTTTCGGGGGGGGGGGGGGCCGTATCATACGGTCCGACGCCTCATAGGTCCGACCGCGGCCTCATAAGTCCGAAATTTCGGACTTATGAGGCGTCGGACCTATATCTATGAGGCGTCGGATTTATGAGCGGACCCCAGTTTTTTTGTTTGGGGGGGGGGGAAGGATTCGAAATATTAACTCAGATTGGACATCTTTCAGTGGTTCTTGTATTATTTTTCAGTATTTTGCGTTCAAATGTTTTACTTCTTGTTCCATTTTTTTCTCATGAAATTCTGACCAGTGATTTTTATAGTAATCCTTTTCGTTTTAAACTAAACATTTTTGGAGCACATTGTGTATTTTGAACTTTTTGATAATGTCACCTTTTATATTTGTTATCTTGTTATTTACATAAATTTTAAATGATTATTCTATATGTAAATCATGCATGCACAATTTGGCTTTTTCTATAAAAAAAGAAATCCTGGAGAAATTGCGAGAAAATGACCTTGGACCTCTGTACATTTGCAATGGACCGATGTCGTCGCTTCTTGACGCCAGGCCCATTTATGGGCATGCGTGCATAATTATGAATTTATTAGTAAAAAGGTCAATAATAGCTGCAAACGTACCAATTGAAAACATCGCTTAAAGCATATTCGTAAACTCGAACAAAAACAAAGGTTTTTTTAGCAGTTAAGCGCAAAAGCCAATAAATGAAATATTTGTTTAAAAAGTTCAATAATTATGATTGATGGATGGAAGCATAATTATCACTAATTGTGTTCATCCATCCAGAATGATTTTATATACATTATCTCAAAACATTCGTCGCTAAAAGCATATTTCGTCTTTGTCCCTGGAATGTCAAGATCGGTTAGGTATTCAGTGACTAAAATAATGTGACTTAATTAGTAGAGCTTCAATGCAAAAAAGCCAACGCGCTCAGATGGGGCATGTACGCTAGTCAATGTTAACATCATCCCTTGCGAATGTAAGGAACAGGCCGTGCTTTCAAATTCGCAATTTGGGATTTTCGAATTCTTTTCATTTCGCATCTTTGGAGGATGTCTATGCTGATCAAAGCTTTTGTGCTCACTTTGTGCATAATTAACGTTATCAAAAATAGTAGATTCACTAACGATTGTAAAATATTGTGGTCCTGTAAAACACACCCATAAAATACCGATGTGACTGACGAATCATAGGCCTATCTGTTAGACAACAACCGGTATTACAGACCACCAAAGATTGTGAAAAAGAAAACGACAATAAGACCTGCAAAGACTAAAATCTTAAGAGCAAAGTTTGAAAGCCAGTCACGCAAGATGGACACTGCAACAGTTCTTCAAATCTTAAAGACCATCACGGGTATCTTAGGTATTGCAGGGAACGGCTTGGTGTGTGTGGTCATTGCTAAAGTTCCAGCCATGAGGACGCTGACCAACACTTTCATCTTCAACCAGGCGTTGGTCGATTTCCTTGCTTCTCTGTCGATGATCCTACAGAGTAATATTCATATTTCATCGCTGAGCCCTAACAGAGTCATTGCCTTCTTACAGTGCAACGTCTGGGAGACGTCTCTGATCCTGTGGACCTTCTTCACTGCCTCCACCTTCAACTTGGTCCTGCTGACCTCCGAGCGATACTTTGCCATCGTCTACCCGTTCAGGTACCTAGCTTACTTCAGTATCCGACGCGCCACTGCCATGATTGTTGTGGTCTGGCTGCTGGCAATCGGTTACAAATTCCACATTGTGGTGTATCACCAAATCGAGAAAGGTGAGTGCGTGCCTGCTACTCTCTCGAAGACTGCTCTTCGGGTAGATGGCACCATCACTTTCCTCATCGAGTACCTGCTTCCTCTGATCTTCATGGCATCTTGCTACATCCATATCATCCTTCAGCTGAAGAAAGCCTCGTCTATCGTCCACGCCGAGCCGTCAACCAGCCAACAAGGAGACAACAGTATGAGTGGATCCCTGCTTCGCGCCCGACGCAACACGCTGAAGACGCTCTTCATCGTCTTCTTAACGTACACCATCTGCTGGTCGCCGAGTCAAATCGCGTTCTTCATGTACAACTTTGGACTGGACTTGAATTTGCAGGGGGCGTTCTTCATCATCTTTGTTGTCCTGGCTCAACTCAACTCTTGCGTGAACCCCGTCATCTATGCGTTCAAGTACAAGCAGTTCCAGAGGGGTGCGCGGGCTTTGCTGAAATCGTGTTTTCCCAGTCTGACCGAGCCACGTAACGAAGATAATGTAGGCCTATCAATTATAGTAAGATCCAAGACGCAGGCAAAGTCAGCAAAACAAGGACCAACTACAAATAATGGAGCCGACAGCAAATCCGCAGAAACTGGTTAACTGCAACATAAAAAAATGACGAGTCTTGAGGGAGGTGTAAGCTTGCCGCGAATGTGCACCTTCTAAAGTAGCATAGTTGACTTATAATATAATACGCGATACCGCATTATTGTTGTATGCCTAACCAAATAAGGACACGTATCTGTATTTGTCCATTTTAGAATTTGGTTTGTCGTGATGTAACTTTGATAGAAGATGTCGGAAAACCTGACACCGTACTTGCGTCGGGCGTAGCGTGGAGCAGTAGGCCTACACCCATAGTGGCGTGCGGTATTGGGAGCATAATATAAACCAAACGGCAGCGACCTCAGCCGATCCAAATACGTGTTGGTTTCAGACATGCCAGACGAAGTTTGACCGTGGAGTTGTTACGAACATTTTCCGACACAGGATATCACTCCAAGTCGAGCTTTTCTTTATAGGCCCTAATAATAGGACTGATTTCTGATGACGTCACGCTGTTCACAAGTGACGTCATCATGTCTCATTTCGGTTCAAATCTTTGAAATGGTTCGGTCGGCACAACTCTGGCACTCAAGATTGAAACGGATGCAAGAGAGTTCTTATTGCTATGGGTTTAATTCCCCGTTCCGATTATTACATAATATTGAGCATAATAGCGCGAAGATTGCACAAATACAGTAGCGCGGCCGCGAAATACCCCTTTCTTGTTTTGATCATCAGCCTTGGGAATATTGGCAGCGCTACCCAGGTCATTCGGAGCACCCAACGCGCGTGTATGTAGCTTGATATTCATGTTGCGGATATATTAAAGGTGGCACTTGGCCGGATGACGCTGTTGCGGGACTCACATTCAAAGATTAGACACCCAATTGGGCTACGTGTTTTTACACATACATTGTCCATTATAACGTCAAATCGTCCTCAAAAACAATCATTCCTTTTTGCAATTCGCTTATTTTTTTACTTTATCAGGTTGGGGATGATGGGAAAATATTTATGTATCACCGACATCCGCATGATCCGCAGACCATTATACGCCGCAGTCGCCGGCTCTTCGTCAAGTAAATTTCCCCAGACGATGTTGTAGCACGTATTCGTTTGATGTCTGCCTTTCAGGCTTCAGGCAGTACTCCAAGCGAAGTGTTTCAGATATATGTATATCATTATGCGAGGTTTCAATAAACACTTGTCACATAAACTCGACACTGTTTACCTAAATGCCATTTTGGCGTTATTACAATATCCAAATATACGGTTCAGAGTACAAGTTCTCCATGCACTCAGTGCAATGAAAAGTGTTTTCATCAAGAGAAAATGGACAGTTCAAGTGTTCTTTGAAGGTAATTGTTTTTGAGATACCTTTCATTATTGCCATGGGTAATACTTATTTGCATTTTCACACTTCCCGTCGTATATGTACAACAGTGTCATTATTATTTGATAAAGCTCTTGAATTTGTCATTTCCTCATCGGATTTTGACATTAACTGCCCCAAATGTAAAACAACACAAATAGAAAAACGTGAATGCGCAATTTGCGGCCTCGACGCCAACTTTCAGAATGACCAGAGCTGGCGCACGAGGATATAATGGCGTATCCTCTCAACCTCGTCCCCATGGCGTCGAACAGTACGCTACCAGTGACTGCTTTCTCATTCCAACCTCATCCTTAGGGTCTGCTTTCAACCCCAAGACAAAAATAACCCTAGGCCTGGGAGGGTATCAATAGACCCGAGACCTAATGACGTCACTCCATCTGTGTATCACGTGCGCTTTCCTATGTGGCAGATGGCCCCTAATTCGTCTGGCGTCCCGACTTCGCTCCCGTAGGAAAACGCATATGTAAAAAAAACAACTTATAAAGCCATTACGTCAGTAGGTCTTATAGTGTATTGCTTCTTGTATTCTGATTTGATGCCGCAAATATAGCAAGTATTGGATTATTATGTTGTACTTGGGGCGTTTTGTTTTATAGTTCTGACGTGTATTTCGTGTTGAGTTATAGCGTTCATTGTGAATTCGTATGTCCAATTCTCTTAAAACTTGTCTCTCAGTTTGCTTATTATCATGATGTTATACGGTATTTTGGATGGGTAAGATTTTTACATTAATTGAGACTTTTATTACATTGAAAAGTCATGGTTTTCTGATTTGGAGTGATTCTTGATCAAAGTATACAGTCGACTTTCGTGATACCTGTTAATACAAGTTCTGGTTATAGCAAACAAAAACCCTGGGTCCCGACTGTGCATTTTGTGTGCACAATGAATGGGACCGGCACTCCACTCAACAAACATTTTTGGCCATACATAACAGGCCCGGCTTGAGTTAATGACGATTGTCTTGTAGTAAGAAGTTAAGTGCGCCTGATGCTTGGTGATCAACAACCGTGTCAACTTGAACCTGTCAAGCCTAAAATGCGTCCGCTTCGCCTTCGCTTGTGTAAATACAAAGGACCTGTCAATATTTGTTTTCGTTAAGAACTGTTAATGGACGTATAGTTCACCAGTCGCCATTTGGAGAGCATGCGGATGATCTCCTAACTAGATTATGGGCACTTTACAGTGCCTATAGGGACGCAATAAGATCAACCCGTGTAGATTTCTTGAGGATACTGTTCATGCTTTTAAATAACGAGACTTTTCAAGTTGCTATCCAACGGGCAGATATTTTAATAAGAGAATAAATGTGTGCTTTAGAGGTTTTAAACACTCTGTTTAAGACCGGTTAAGACCGGTTGGAGTCTGGATGCTGATAATTAAAAATCAACACAAGTCAAACCGTTAATTTCCAACGATTGTGGTCAACAATTTCACTTCATGTTTTTCGAAAACCCTACTAGCTTTATAATGGAGAGTCCAGCTCGCGAGAAAGTCATAAACAACTCCTTTTATGGAGATTGGCGTACTGTGCAGGATGCAGCTGTGGCGGTACGTTGTGAATTTAGGACAAGGCTATCGCGACTCGGGCCCGGCAATGGACTGAGCAGCGGACACACGATGCGAATGGAACGGAGGCTACTCCTAGTGACAAAGCCACGAGGCCTTTTGCAATCACTCAGAATTTCTAACTCTTTATATTATACGTGCCAGTTTGCATGCACACGGAACTTGATCCCTGCAAAATCTCATATCGCATGCTAAGATCGTCAAGTATGATAAAATAGGCATCATTTTGGCTATACGGTTTGTGAAAATCTGGCCGAAAGAGCGATTATTTTTTTGCGGCAAAAGTTCGTGTTAAATACAGGAAGACTGATGCTGAAATGGGGCTTATTTCTTCTGAGGCGCGCTTGTGGCGTGGAATACGATCTCCACAAATCACAAGACATTGATGCTTCCCTGCCTTTCTTAATTTGATAAAAACGTGATTAGATCTCAGTTTCATCGGGGCAGATTGCGCTTCGGACAATGAAGAGTGATGAAGTGTCAAGGAGCGTGCATGGTCTCGCATGCTTTGAGAATAATGGATGGTCACGCCATTAATAATGTTCTCCCAAAGGGAGACTGGTATAAGAAAACATGATCTTAGTCATGATAAAGGCTGCTTCTTGTCACATCGTTACTGGAGTACACTGACCCCTACGTTGCGGTCCTGGCTTAAAGGTAATATACAACAATTCAAACATTGATCAAAAAACAAAACTACCAAATTATTGTGAAATACCTTACTTAACTATAAGTAAATAACAGTGTCAACTTTCAAGCATTCTGTGAAATCATGGCACCTGGTGTGATATCATTTTCAAGAACGTTTGTTTTAAATAGTTACTAAAAAAACCTCCCAGTTTTGGAGTTCTGTCCAAAACTATTTTTTTCCAGCACTAAAAGGGACCTTTGGTACGGAGCTCTGGAAGTGCCATCCGACTTGTTCAGATATTGACATATGAAAGTAGGATGACGACATCCGGAGATAATCTATTATGGGATGACGACATCCTGATATACCCTCGAATGCTGTTTAGTGGAGTTATGAGAAAGCAATCCTATTTTCAAGATGTCATCATCCCGTGGTGAGTTTCTCAGTTTGTCGACATCCTACGCATTGGATGTCGTCATCCTTAGATACATTATTATGATGATGTCGACATGCTATTTTTACGACGCATCATCCCGTGATGAAATATATCTGTATGTTGACATCTAACATGTTAGATGTAGCCATCTTGTGAAATTATCTCAGCATCTCAACATCTCGGATGGCACCTCCAGAGCTCCGTAGGGACCTTATCATGTATGAGAACGGGCCTTACCGAAATGAGGGCTTTCGCGTCGCATCGTTTTCTCAATAAATCTCCCAGTTGTTTTGACCCGGTTGCGGCTGTTTTGAAAAGCGACTTTGCCGCCGACTCTGCGATCAGTCATGCGAAATTACCGGGTCCCCAACTGAAGCCTTTAAGACGGGGGAAAAGTCACATTTGCCTTGAAATTGCCGTAATCAATTTGTGAACCAATGCTGTATGGGAACATATTAACTTCTTCCTGGGGATTTCTCCGCACGTACTGACATTTCAGCCAGTCAGCAAGAATCACATGGATGGTAGCTTGCTCCATGCGCCATCACGTTACATTAATTTGTCTACTGGAATAAAATCTTAAACGGGACTTGGGGGGGGGGGGGGGAGGGGAATTGGCGACCTACCGTAACAAATCCGAAAAGCTGGGCAAAGGCAGTCTCACTAGTCTGAACAAAGACTCAATATGGCAGATTATTCATTCATTCATTCCTTAAAGGGAACTGGGTCAAAGTAATTTTTATCAAATCCGATGTGCGTACGGCGTGCGTATTGCCTATACGTCTCCGCTTGTCAAGTTGGCCATTAATAAGATCTTCAGGTACATCACGGAAAAACTGTCATGATGAATAGCATCCAATAATAATAACATCAGAAGCATGAGACCGTTACCTGCATGTCCTTCATATACACGTGTGCTGTGAGGTGGGGAGGGGCTGAATCTCATTTGACCGTAGGGGGCGCACTTTCCCCCATTCCTTTCTTTTCAGTAATATTAAATGAATCCCTATAAAAGAAGGGAATTGATCGATTTAAAAACGGTCGCGAGTCGTCTATAATTTTATACACTCCTCTTTTGGTCACTGTTCTGTTTAAATGGACACCTGTTTGGGGTCATAGCCTCGCGCCCCCCCCCCCCACCTCAGATCCGCCCCACCCCGGCTCAATGCTACGTTTGATCGCTAACTGTGACCCTCACTATGACGCTGAAAATTATCATATCGTTGCAGTTTGAATTAATCAACCATTAGCCAACTGAATTTATGATGAGGTCACGTTTACGAAAAACGTACTGCACAATTATGCACCCACAACGCCTCCAACTAAGCCACCGTGTAAATGATATGCAGTTCCATTCCGAATTTATGGGAGCGGAACAAAGATTCTGTCATGCACTTTTCGATAATTATCAATTCTCCCGCGTGAATATTGCCTGACATTTCACTAAACACGATACAGTGAGAATTCCCCAGGTAGACCGAACACGGAGGACACACAGAAAAACTCAGTTACAACAGACCTGCCTCCTCGATCTTCGCGTCACTGAGATAATGGTGGCGCGCCAGCGATGCATGTCACCGATCGGAACAAATTACGTGCATCGCTCATGCGTCGAGCGTCAGTCTCCCGCAAGCTTTGGCTATCCATTGTCGCAGTTTTAGTTGAGTCTGAAAGACAGAGTGAGAACGTTACACGCTTCTCAGAGATGTGGCCTCGTAACACTTTCAGTCTTGCACATAAGGCAGATCTGGCAAGCCGACGTGTGTTTCCGTTGAGAGGGGTTTGCTATCTAAACGTATTCAAGATTTGCTGACACGGTTTTTTTGTTGACTGGGGTTTCAACGCGGGTCGGCCCGGCACTGGACTGAGCAGAGAAGCCACGACGGGAATTGAAGTCTAAAAACCGACCGACGACAGAACACGCTAATTAGACTCGGACGGTCTGTTGATACTCCTCTTGAATTTGGATTCGAGCATCCAGTCGTTATATGGTTAACTTGAGCTGGCAATATAGCGCATTTCTGTTCAGGGGATTTTGCCGGCTGGACGTTTCATATCCAAGATCTGTCGTTAGTTTTTTGTGACCATGGCTTTCAATGCATCTGAGAGTGACATGGATGGGAATCAAGCATTTTATGCCGTTGAACTCTCTGTGATTGTGTTTGTGTGGCATCTTCTGATTGTCGTTTTGGGTGTTCCGGGGAACGTTCTGATCCTGATCGTGTTCCTGGCCAAGCCTCGTCGGACCAGCACCGCCGTGCTCATCATGGCGCTCGCTGCCGCCGATCTCTTCGCCTGCCTGGCGCGCCTCTGCGAGGTAGTCTACCAGGGGATCGAGCTTTCAGGCAGCGCACCGCCCACCGGACTGTTCGTGACCATCACCGTGGTCAACAATCTTTCACTGACTGCGGCCGCGTTGATGACGGCCCTGATCGCCTTAGATCGCTACGACTGCATCTGTCGACATAGTAATCGACTGCTGAGCCACCGGCGATCTTGTGGAGCAGTTGTCTTCATTTGCTGCTTGACATTATGCACCAACATCCCCCTCTTCGTCTATCTCTCCGGCAACCTCAACTGGTACATGGTGGTGTTCTCCAAACAAGTCTTGTTCTACTTCTTCGATGTCCTGGTGGTTTTCGTCTGTTACGGGAGGGTGTACGCGGCGATCCGAAAACACGTCCGGGTCGGCGTAAATCGGTTGACTACAGCCGGTCACAATCCGTCGGTTCTCAGTGATACTTCAGCGTCTGGTCGTCGGAACGTCTCTCGGTACGAGACCAGACAACCTCCTGGAACTATTCCAGCAATTGCAGCCCCGGAGATGCCTTGTTGCAGTGCTAACACCGCCCCTCCATCCCGAGCTCCCAGGAAAGTTTTCCTTGATTCCAAAACACGAAGCCCGGGCGTCACATCTTTGTCAAGGTCTCTAGATGTCACGAGTGGTGGAGCTCAGGGCACCACTTTGGCCCGGGGAGGGTCCAAAAGTCCAGGAAGCTCCCAACGAGAGTCGCTGTCCACCACCAACGCGGGGCAACCCCGGGCCTCCACCACCCGCAGCGGCCCGCCGGCTACGCTTCAAAGGAGGACCACTCGAATGCTCTTCTTGGCCACGCTGATTTTCCTCCTGACTTACATCCCATACTGGATCTTCGTCGGGATGGCATTCGCCGGTCGACCCCACGATGCCGTCTATCATATCATGAGGAATGTCCTACACCTGATGTTCCTGAACAACGCCGTGAACCCACTGATCTACGGGGTGGCCAACCGGCGGTTTCGCAAAGACGTTCGAGATGTCCTACGGAAGATGTGCGGTCGAAAATCCACAGAGTAAGATCACCAGAATGTATTGACTCTGTCCTGTAACTCCGTCGAGTAACTGAAACTTATATTTTGCGACAACAATAACCCTTGCTGGCTTTTTGGAAGAAAAATCATCTTGTGAATTTGTTAGTGCATGTAATATGGATTTAGAATGCATTCATCAAAAAAGGTGTTAATATTAAGCTAAATGGATTATGACATTATTACCTCTGCTAAGCAGGCCATCTCACTTATAGCTTTCTAATTCTGGAGAGTCACACAGCCCGTTTTGTTGTACTTACCTACACAAACGCGAAAAGAGCTTATTCAAACAACCAACTCAAGCCGTGCAATTACCTATTTATACTTGGATGTACAGTCAAATTGGTGCGAGCAGGTATCTTGTTGGGCAAAATTCACCAAAAAAAAAATAAAATGGTTCTTATAGCAGACGATTGAGGACGGTCATTTCTTCATCGAACAATTTTTTACATCACAAATTCCACTGAAAAAAAGCACTGTAAAAAGCAATTTTAAAAATAGCTTTGAAATTAATAACTTCTTGATGAAAGTGAGGGAAAGGAGCGAAGTGTTGATGTGTAGAGTACTTGTACAAGGATCAAACGCCTCATCAAGTGATGCACCAAGATTTTTCGAATGAATTTTGCGAATTTATGATGAAAATGTTGACTTTTTATTTTCCACTATTATAGTATGTGAAAATATCCACTACAAAAATACCACCCAAAAGGAAAAAAATGCAAGCCTTTCACTAATCGTGGTCATCCATCCACTAAGAATGAAATTATGCATTACTTTTGTGGCGGCTGCACACAGGCTGTAAAAGAGCGAATTGAAAACATCGCTAAAAGCATACTCGTATTTTGTCCTTGGTTGTCAAGAACTGTTAAGTATTGCGTCAATTGAGTGTACGGTTGTGGCTTTTAGGCAGCTTTGCAAATTGCCAACACGCTCAAGATCGATGCATGTCAGTCAGTGTTGATATCACCTGCCAATGTAAGGATCAGTCCCTGGATATTTTGGGATTTTCGAATTATTTTCAATTCACATCTTTGGAGGCTGTCTACTTTATATATGCTGACCACACCTTTTATGCTTGCGTTGTACGTCTGTTCATAGCGTTAGCTTATAAACTCTGAACAGTCCTGGCTTAGCTTTGACCTGACATCTTTAGGGTCAAATGACACTTTTCCGGGTTAAAGTGACACTTTTCTGGGTCAAAATGACACTTAGTTCCGTGTCAACATAACACTTCTCTTTATCATTTTCCGGGTCATTTTGACCCGGAATAAGTGTCATTTTGACTTGGAAAAGTGTCATTTTGATCAGGAAAAGTGTCATTTTGACCCGGGAAAGTGTCAGGTTGACCCGGAAAGTGTCATTTTCACCTGGATCAGTATAAGCTCAAATCTGACCCGGAATCTGACCCTAGACTTTTTAGAGTGTTTCAATCTTATAGCAGGTTCATTAAAGATTGTGAAATATTGGGTCCTGTAAAAACACGCACGTAAAATACTGAACACTAAAAGCGTAACTTTGTTTTACCTCTCTGTACGTAAAACCACAATAGACCACAATAAACCATATGCATGTAATTGAAACTGTCTCTGCGTTGATAGAAGACACGTATGCGTATTGTGATGCTGAAGAGTCTTTAAACAAAATTGGTGCGCTCAATAAACCTTTTTCATAAAACCCAGATCACGATCCAGATCACGATCCATTCAAGGCTTACTCCATTATGTTTCCCCGTCATTTTCCGATCCACGATTAGCCGTGCCATTAGCTGCGTCCTGCACTCCGCGGTCCGGTTTGCGGAGAGATCATTTGTCATTTCGGTCAACTTCCTGTAATGACGGCGTTTAGGACTAGCGTTTGGTGCACGTTCGAAAATAGGTATACAAAGAGAACTCTCAGTAGAACGCTGTCGATTCCATAATTATAAGAATTTACTGGTTGGGAATTCGTGCACGAATCAATAGGGACCATAAGAGAGGATGCGCCTACGGGATATGCGTATAATTATAAGCCGGCTTTGAAACAAACTTGAGTATATCACCATTTCTCGAAGTCAACCTTTCTCCCCACACCGCCTACGAACTAGACTGAACGCGTAACTGTCCCTGTATGCCCTATCACGTACGTCTCATTACAAAATTCAATTTCAGAACCGTAATGGAGCGTGTAAACACAGGAGATATTCTTCACAACACGCTCAAGTAGGGCTTTCTTTTTACACCCATCATATTGACTGATCACAGATCCTGAAAAAAAACATGCATTACAAAAGTCAACAAGTTTGATGAAATGATGGTTCGCAACGACATGAACGACCAGTTTTATGGGTTCTCACTTAAAAAGACAGGGTTCTTAAAGAAGTAACGGTATATGTATATATGCGTGGTCATTACTAATTGTATTAATATGTTCAGATGTGTCGAGTCTACTCAAATTCGGCCAGCTCAGTGTTTGAAATCCATAGAGGGAAACATCACGCACATAAGTGAAACTGACGCTCGTGAGCGCAAGATGTTGTTTAAGCTTTTATTGTAATTTCATTACATTTGTCTTATTGGGTGTGAAATCAACGCTTTCAACAATTCGGATGCATCAAAGCTGGGGCTGATCCAGGGTTTTCCAAAGGCGGCGGGGGAGAGGGGGGGGGGGTTTGACTGGGATGTTGAAGTTAATGAGTTATAAAGTTGGGCTGTGATCAACCCATATCAAGACGTGCGATGGTCTGAAGCGATAAATCAATATTTGCAATATTGAGTGGTGGCGTTATTCAAGGAACGTTAATAAAAACATTCCCCATATTATGTAAATAATTAACATTTGTCAGTCGGAAGGGGGTGGAGTTGGGGTGGGGGAGGGGTGGTGGTAAGTCATCCCAGCCACAGAACCCTATATTCTGGCGTGGGGAGTGGATCTTAAAAGAGAAACTTCGTCGTTCTGCATACTTACAACGAAAGTATTGATTTTGGGGGATGTTAAAAATGACACACTCATAATGAATAGGAATATCGGTTTATTTTAGTCAATTTGTATTTTAAAATGGACAGCCAACAAATGGACTACTATCGAATGGGAATCCCCAAATCCCTGGCGCCCCAATATGTACTAGCACGGCGATGTGTATCGTGTTTATCACCATTAATGCTGGCTTCGACATGTCTTGTATCGACCTACACGCATAATGGGGCCGAGGATGCTCAAACCGTCCCCGCATGTTAGTGCCATACCGCACGCTACACGTATACCCTGCAGGGGACGGTATATGCTACATACACCTAACTAGTACATAATCCGATAGGTCAATTACCGACTTGATTTATACTATAATACTGTTGTATTGTCACATATACAGTAAAATACTCCTTGATTTTGCGTGCCTAAAAACATTTAAAATGCACACTAAAACATACACACTAAAAACATCACATGTACACAATTATAATTACAAGAATCAACATTAATAAAAGTATACATTAATATTTACATCATTAGTACTAAAACAGTATATAAATAGCAGCTTAAATAAAACGAAAAGAAGAAAAAAGATGAAGATAAAAAAAACCCGCCAGTACAACTTAACTTGTATGCCACAATTAAAATAAATGTGTGTCGATTGTGTATGTGTGTACATGGTATCGTCATATTGTATCGGATACTCATTATACGCGCATAATTTCAAAACAAGTCAAGCGTTTATGATAGTATCTATATAATGATGGTACCAGTTTAACGTTCAACTAAATTGCTGCGGCTAGTTCGTCTCAGTGTTCAAATATTCTGACTGACAAAACAAACAACCTGCACACAATTTCGTATCATCAATGATCGCTCGATCGACGTCGATCGTAGTTTTCCGTTCACTATCTGATGATTTTGGAGTGGTTGTTACTTGCTCTATGTCTGCAGCGAGTTTTCCTGGCCAGCTCATTTGCAATATAAAAACACGCTGAAATGTTTGGATAGCCTATTTTGGTCCCTTTCTTATACATGTATTCTTGCGTGGGTACTTGTTTTTAAATGTCAGGAAATCAAGGCAAGGCAAGATATAAGTTGGGCCGGCCCTGCCTGAGCGCACACAATTATATTAAACGGACATAGCTTTCAGAATTGCTATTAATTAAAATATCTCCCATGACATGATGAGGCAATTTAAAAGCCAGGGTCTTTTCAATATACCAGGAATTTCGTTGTTTATCTTTTACTGAGCATGCTGTAGAAATTTTTGGTCAATCCATTAAGGCATTTTGCCAAACCACTGGTGGCCAGTCCAGCCCCATAATTCAGGATTTCCAGTTTTTGTTCACCAATTTCACCGATCCAAAAAAGGATAGAAAGATGGTTTCAGTTCTGGACATAAACAAGTGTTACACAATATATTTATGGAAAATATATGTGCGTTCAGGCCACTTGGGGAGGGTTTAGGCAAACCTAACAAGTCATTCAGTTGACGAGTGGTACTAATGGACCGATCCAGTAAGCACCGCCCCATGGTATTCTGACCAATCACAGCCGTGATTTATGACCGACATGCGTGCACAAAAGTCCGACATGCGTGCACGCGCGTATGATGCGCGCGGCAGGAAAATGCAGTGTGGCATTGGAGAGGAGCACGTGTTAATTTGCCCACGTGCGCAGTGGGAGGGGCTTACTGGATCAGTCCATTGCTTCCTGCATACCAGTATAGTGGTCATTCAACCAGTAATAAACCCCCAGTGGATTTTGGATATCAGAGAAACACCCAAAATTAAGCTGAAATCCTGATACTGGTTTTATGGACCAAAAGAAAATCCGTATATAAGGCCACAAAAAAGTCTCCGGTTTCTGGTATGGAGCTTGCCCAAAAAGTGGTGCGGCGACGCGGCTTTTAAATTTTTTTTTTACCTGATTTGTTTTGCTTCAAATGTCGGCTGATGACTGCAAATGGTGCCCGACTAAACTTAGTGCAAATATATGGGAGTCCAGAGAGTCCACCTAAAGCTTATTCTCGACGATAAC